AGGCTGAGGCAGGAGAATGGCGTGAACCCAGGAGGCGGAGCTTGCAGTGAGCCAAGATCGTGCCACTGCAGTCCAGCCTGGGCGACACAGCGAGACACCATCTCAAAAAAAAAAAAAAAAAAGGGTTTAAGCAAAGGCTGGGCTCAGTCACTCTGCCCGCTCTGGCCAGCAAGTTCTTGGGAGACAAAGGATGGAAAAGGGAGGAAATCTTTCCACACAGCCAGCCTCTCCTCTCTCTCTCCCTTTCTCTTCTCTCCTTCTCCCTCTCCTCTCGGGAGATTCAGGATTTCCCAGGTGCAATTGGCAGATGCCGGCATCTTCACCTGTGTGGCCTCGAGCCCAGCTGGCGTGGCGGACAGGAACTTCACCTTGCAGGTGCAGGGTATGGAGCAGGGGGTGGGGCAAGGGGGTCTCTGGCCTTGGTGGGTGAGAAGCAAGGCCCTTGGCCCCCCTGCCCATCTGGGTGGAACCAAGGATGGGCCCTGGGGGCATCAAGGAGAGTGGACACTGCGACTCAGTCTCTGACGCACTGGATTGCCCGTTCGCACCTCACAAGTAGCCATGGGCACTCTGATATGCCCAGGATAGGCGGGGGCAGAGAGGCCAGTGCAGGAAGCAGCTCTGTAAATAGACAATCACAATTCCAGGGAACTAGTGACACTGGGAGACGGAGAGGATGCTGTGGGAGCACAGAGGAGGGCACCTCACCTGGCCTTGGGGGACCAGGGCGGCTTCCTGGAGGAGGTGATGTCTAAGTTGAGTCCTGGAATAAAATGGCTCCTGCCCACCTTTCTGCCCTCCACAGTGCCCCCTGTCCTGGAGCCGGTGGAGTTCCAGAATGAGGTGATGGTGGTTCGTGGCTCCCCAGTGGAACTCCCATGCGAGGCCCGGGGCGTTCCCCTGCCTCTCGTGTCGTGGATGAAGGACGGGGAGCCCTTGTTGTCCCAGAGCCTTGAGCAGGGGCCCAGCCTGCAGCTGGAGACAGTGGGAGCTGGTGACTCGGGGACCTACTCCTGTGTGGCCGTGAGCGAGGCCGGGGAAGCCAGGAGGCATTTCCAGCTGACCGTCATGGGTGGGTCCTCTGGCCTCTGGCCAGCTTCTCTGGGCTCAGGGGAGAGGGTGGGACTCTGGGGGCAATGGGAAGGGCAGTGAGGGAGGTGAGTCCCCTGGAGGCCTGGGACTGCCACCTGGGGAGCTTGGTTCCGGCTGGGATGCCTCTCGCCTGCCTTGCCTGCAGGGAGTGGGTGGCTGGGCTTTCATTCTCCCACGGCTGTGCTCCTGGGTTCTTTCCACCAAACCTTGGTGGCAGATGCAAGAACGAGAGCCACCAAAATGTGGGAGCAGAGCCCCCGGACTCAGCACGCGTTTTCAAGTGTGGTATCATCCTGGAAACGTGTGTCAATTGTGTGTTCCCCTCCATGGTGGCTTGCAGAGCCCCCTCACATTGAGGACTCGGGCCAGCCTACAGAGCTGTCGCTGACCCCCGGTGCCCCCATGGAGCTCCTCTGTGAGGCCCAGGGCACCCCCCAGCCCAACATCACCTGGCATAAGGACGGGCAGGCCCTGACCAGGCTGGAGAACAGCAGCAGAGCCACACGGGTGCTCTGGGTGGAGAGTGTGCAGGTACCGGTGCTGCCACCGTGGGGTGAGGCTGGGGGTTGGGGGAGAGGGGAGGGACTGCAGGTTCCCCAGACCCAGTGGGCAGTTGACAAGGTTTGGCTGAAGCTCCTCCTCTGTGTGGGGTACGAGGGTGTGGAGGTGACCCACCTAAGCCGTGCCCTTGGGAGCTCCCAGCAGGGTCAGGGCCCAGGCTGATGCCAAAACCAGGTGACCCCATCTAAGCCAGAGGAGGGCTGGTGCAGTTAAGGGGGACTTCTGGGAAGAGGCAGGCATCGCACCAGCCCTAAAGCAACAGTGAGATGGAGGGAGAGGGCATGGGTTGGCTGGGTAGGTGGATGGCAGACCTCGCAGGGCTGAGTTTGAATTCTGGATCCCTTGTGGCATAAGAAAGAAACCAGATCGGGAGGCAGGCAGACAGGGGCCAGGGGCAGCTGCTCAACCCGCTCCATCTCCAGGTTGGGGATGCCGGGCTGTACACTTGCCTGGCTGAAAGCCCTGCAGGTGCAGTCGAGAAGAGCTTCCGGGTCAGGGTTCAAGGTAGGTGGTGGGGGTGGGGTGGGGGCAGGGCCGGGAGGCAGGACGGGCTCGTGGCAGGGGTGAGTCTACCTCTCACGTCCTCTTGTGCCACCCGCTTCCCAGCCCCTCCAAACATTGTTGGGCCCCGAGGCCCCCGCTTTGTGGTCGGCCTGGCCCCGGGGCAGCTGGTCCTGGAGTGTTCGGTGGAGGCAGAGCCAGCGCCCGAGATCACGTGGCACCGAGATGGCATCGTGCTGCAGGTGGGCGCCAGGTGGGGCCCCAGGGTGCTGCCTTCTGTCCCTCTCAGGCCCCAGACCTGACCTGGCCAGATCCAAGATCCAGAGCAGGTGCCAAGGGCCTGCTCTGAGCTGTACTTTGCACCCTGTTGCCCGGGTGTCGTACCCCCCATTGTCATTGTCACTCCCATTTTATGGACGGGGACACTGAGGCAAGGTTCAGGTCACTCAGGGCTTCCGAGGCCCACCCAGTGTCCTCCCCCTGGTTCCTTGAAGCTAGGCTTAGCGGCTGTGTGGCCTGGGCTGGTGACCAAGATTCTCTGTGCCCACCCCTCAAATGGGGTCAGTTTGCAGCTGTGGATTCAGGGTTGTGGGTGTTCTGACAGGAATTCCAGGGACAGGGGATGCATTTCCTCCCAGAGGAGTGCATTTCCTTAGTGGGTCCTCAGCGGGTCACAGTCAGGGCCTGCAGTCAGGCTGGAAGGACAGAGCCACTGTCCAGCTTCACCAGTTCCTCAGTCCTCCACGTCTGGTGCTGGGGGCTGGCCGGGAGCAGTTGGGCACTGATAAGGGTCTCTCCACCCTGGCGGGGATCTCCAGGAGGACGCCCACACACAGTTCCCAGAGCGGGGCAGGTTCCTCCAGCTGCAGGCCTTGAGCACGGCTGACAGCGGCGACTACAGCTGCACAGCCCGCAACGCTGCAGGCAGCACCAGCGTGGCCTTCCGCGTGGAGATCCACAGTGAGTAGGGCCCGCCCCACCCCACCCTGCCCACCCCCTTAGAGCCACAGCTCCCAGCACCACTCCTTCTGTGCCCCTCCCCAGCGGTGCCCACCATCCGGTCGGGACCACCTGCAGTGAACGTCTCAGTGAACCAGACAGCCCTGCTGCCCTGCCAGGCCGACGGTGTGCCCACACCCCTCGTGAGCTGGCGGAAGGATGGAGCACCCCTGGATCCCAGGAGCCCCAGGTGGGAGAGGGAAGGGGTGGGCCTCGGGGAGGCTCTCAAGTGCCACTTTGTGGGTTGCAAACCAAACCCACTTGGGCAATTGGAGCAGAAAAGTGACTTTATCATCAGGACGTGGGGCGTCTCGGAATACAAGGACAGGCCCACCGCTCATGAAGGTCTCTTGCTTGTTTGACTTGATCAGAAGCCTTGATAGATGGGGCGGGGTAGAGGGGCGTGAGTGGGTCTCACGAGATCTGATGGTTTTAAAGCTTCTGTCAGCTTCTCTCTGTGTGGGCTTCATCTTTCTCTCTCTTGCCTTCTTCCTTGGTGAACGTGGGAGAAACACACGCCCTGACAACCCCATAGCCCCCAGCCTCACCCAGGTTTACAGCTCCTCAGCTCACTAGGAAGCTGTCTGTGAATCCCCACTCTAAATTCCCAGGGCACAGAATGCCATTGGCCCAGCCTGAGTGATATGTCCATCCCCCATCCAATCAACTGTGGCCAGGGGCGGGATTGCACAGTACAGACATGGCCCTTGGGAAGGGCACTTTTCAGATCTCAGGACTGCTCTCAAGAAGAGCAGGGTGCTGCTCCTTCTGCATCTCAGGAGAGGCCAGGCCCAGGAGGGTGTCGGGGAGGCCCAAAGCAGCCCTTCTCTCCATCTTTCCAATGTTGGCTTGGGCTGTGGGGAGCTGCTCATGGCTCTGACCCCCTGACCTTGGCCTCATAGATGCAAGACTCTGACCTCCAAAGTTAGCATCTGTATTAGTCCATTTTCACGTTGCTGATAAAGACATACCTGAAACTGCGCAATTTACAAAAGAAAGAGGTTTATCGGACTTACAGTTCCACATCGCTGGGGAGGCCTCACAATCATGGTGGAAGGAAAGGAGGAACAAGTCACGTGTTACGTGGATGGTTGCAGACAAAGAGAGAGCTTGTGCAGAGAAATTTACGTTTTTAAAACCATCAGATCTCATGAGACTGATTTACTATCACGAGAACAGCATGGGAAAGACCTGCCTCTCTGATTCAATCATCTCCCACCAGGTCCCTCCCACAACACATGGCAATTATGGGAGCTACAAGATGAGATTTGGGTGGGGACACAGAGCCAAACCATATCAGCATCCTCTCACTGGGAAAGTGGGGGCAGAGGGAAGGGTCTTGCTAGGGACAGCTCTGCTCCAGGCCCACTGGCCTGCCCATCTCCACGGCAACCCCCTGTCCATTCCAGGTTCGAAGTTCTGCCTGAGGGTTCCCTGAAAATTCAGCCAGTCCTTGCCCAGGACGCCGGCCACTACCTCTGCCTGGTATCCAACTCTGCTGGATCCGATCGCCAAGGCCGCGACCTACGGGTCTTTGGTAGGTGGCCTGGGGAAGGCCTTCAGTGTCCAGTCCCTGTCGGGGTCCAGTCCTGCTTAGTTTCTGGGTCACCCCAGCTGTCAGGAGCCAACAGCCAATGGTCTTCAAATGTTTTTGACCATGAAGCCCATTAGTAAAAAGTTGTGATCATGCACACTCAGAGGACACAGATGTATTTTAGTGCATATATTACATAACAGAACAGTGATTTGATTAAGTAAGAAAGCATGCACAAAAGGTAAAACAAGTCTGGGAGACCGTGGCAGGAGAATCACTTGATCCCAGGAGTTTGAGACCAACCTGGGCAACATAGTGAGACCCCATCTCTACAAAAAAAAAAAAAAAATCCTTAAATTAGCCAAGTGTGGTGGCACATGCCTGTAGTTCCACCTGCCTGGGAGGCTGAGGTGGGAGGATCACTCGAGCCCAGGAGTTTCAGGCTGTAGTGAGCCATGATCACACCACTGCACTCCAGCCTGGGCGATAGAGTGAGACTCTGTCTACAAAAAAAAAAAAGTAAAACATGTGAAAGGATAAAATTCAAAATCACTAGACTCAGATGCCCCAGTCTCCTCCCCATCGAATGGATCAGCTTGTGGATCAGCTTGTGTGAGGCTGCTCTGGCGGGCCCTGGCCTCAGGTGGGGGGTTAAGGGAGTGGAGGCCTGGAGGCCTCAGTCAAGGAAAGGCAGCAAGGGGGTGCCGGGCTCAGGGATGTGGAAAGCCCAGAACACGCAGTTTTGGGAGCCTGTTGGAAGCGCTGTCTTGGGACTTTCTCCTGCCCTCTCCCTCTGTGCTGCCTCAGGGATGGGTGGAAGACAGTAGGCAGTAGCTTTGCCCCTGGGCACAGCCTCAGAGAGCCCCCAGCCCCTGTGCCAGCTGCACCTGTCTCCTGACCACTGCGCTCTCCCCAGAGCCTCCAGCCATCGCCCCCAGCCCCTCCAACCTGACTCTGACCGCCCACACCCCAGCCTCGCTGCCCTGCGAGGCCAGCGGCTCCCCTAAGCCCCTGGTGGTCTGGTGGAAGGACGGACAGAAGCTGGACTTCCGCCTGCAGCAGGGCGCCTACCGGTAACGAGCTGGACCTTGTGGTGACTTCGTGAGACACACGGGGTGGGGAGGCACTCTCGTCTCACGGGGGCATGGGGCAGGGACGGGGCAGGGTGTGCTCAGGTCTCACCGGAGTCAGGACCAGAACTTGTGTCTCAACTTTGGGGATCAGAAAGTCTTCACACTGAGATAGGGGTGAGGGCACTGGGGACATACAGCTAAGCAGAGACATCTGGGCTTTATTTATATCCACCAGAGTCACTCGTTGTCTAAAAGCAAAACATGAACTGGGCGTGGTAGCTCATACCTGTAATCCCAGCACTTTGGGAGGCTGAGGTGGGAGGATTACTTGAGGCCAGGAGTTCAAGACCAGACTGGGCAACATAGTGAGACCCCATCTCTACAAAAAAATTTAAAAATTAGCGGAGTATGGTGGTGGGTGTCTGAGGCTGAGATGGGAGGATCCCCTGAACCTGGGAGGTTGAGGCTGCAGTGAGCTGTGATTGTGTCAGTGCACTCCAGCCTGGGCAACAGAACCAGACTCTGTCTCAACAACAAAAAAAAAAAAGTCAATTTTTAAAAATTGGAAAACCAATGTAACAAACCTAGACTTAGTGAAAATGAAGTCAGTAACTAAGACTGAGCCACTTTAAAGTCGTGGTTCTTACAGAAGTTATTGTAGATGGTTATTGTAACAAATGTGCAGAGTTACAGAGAAACAGGGATGAAAATGAAAATCACTTGGGAGGCCGAGACGGGTGGATCACGAGGTCAGGAGATCGAGACCATCCTGGCTAATACAGTGAAACCCCGTCTCTACTAAAAAATACAAAAAACTAGCCAGGCGAGGTGGCGGGCGCCTGTAGTCCCAGCTACTCGGGAGGCTGAGGCAGGAGAATGGCGGGAACCCGAGAGGCGGAGCTTGCAGTGAGCTGAGATCCGGCCACTGCACTCCAGCCTGGGCGACAGAGCGAGACTCCGTCTCAAAAAAAAAAAAGAAAATGAAAATCACTCACAAATCCGCCAGCTAGACCTTTGGGGTAGAAACTTCTAGAAGCCATTTCTAGAGTCAGGGCTGGAGGTCAGGTACAGGAAATGGGCATGAGACCCCCACAGCCAGAAAGCCACAGCTGGTCTGTCAGCCCAGCAGCCACTTGGCCGTCCATCTGTCCGCCCCAGGCTCCTGCCCTCCAATGCCCTGCTCCTTGCGGCCCCTGGCCCCCAGGACTCAGCCCAGTTTGAGTGCGTGGTGAGCAATGAGGTGGGCGAGGCCCGCAGGCTCTACCAGGTGACCGTCCATGGTGAGTCAGGGCAGAGGTGGAGGGGGACACCTGGGGTGGGGGCAGCGCCTTCCTGCCCTTGGGGGCTCTCCCTGCCTGCAGGGAATTGTGTGGCTTTTTCTTGCGCTGCACTGGACACCTCCTCCAGGAAGGCCTCTCAGATCCTCCTGGGTCACTGCTGACATAACCCCTGAACCTGGGAGGTTGAGGCTGCAGTGAGCTGTGATTGTGTCAGTGCACTCCAGCCTGGGCAACAGAACCAGACTCTGTCTCAACAACAAAAAAAAAAAAGTCAATTTTTAAAAATTGGAAAACCAATGTAACAAACCTAGACTTAGTGAAAATGAAGTCAGTAACTAAGACTGAGCCGCTTTAAAGTCGTGGTTCTTACAGAAGTTATTGTAGATGGTTATTGTAACAAATGTGCAGAGTTACAGAGAAACAGGGATGAAAATGAAAATCACTTGGGAGGCCGAGACGGGTGGATCACGAGGTCAGGAGATCGAGACCATCCTGGCTAACACGGTGAAACCCCGTCTCTACTAAAAAATACAAAAAACTAGCCAGGCGAGGTGGCGGGCGCCTGTAGTCCCAGCTACTCGGGAGGCTGAGGCAGGAGAATGGCGGGAACCCGAGAGGCGGAGCTTGCAGTGAGCTGAGATCCGGCCACTGCACTCCAGCCTGGGCGACAGAGCGAGACTCCGTCTCAAAAAAAAAAAAGAAAATGAAAATCACTCACAAATCCGCCAGCTAGACCTTTGGGGTAGAAACTTCTAGAAGCCATTTCTAGAGTCAGGGCTGGAGGTCAGGTACAGGAAATGGGCATGAGACCCCCACAGCCAGAAAGCCACAGCTGGTCTGTCAGCCCAGCAGCCACTTGGCCGTCCATCTGTCCGCCCCAGGCTCCTGCCCTCCAATGCCCTGCTCCTTGCGGCCCCTGGCCCCCAGGACTCAGCCCAGTTTGAGTGCGTGGTGAGCAATGAGGTGGGCGAGGCCCGCAGGCTCTACCAGGTGACCGTCCATGGTGAGTCAGGGCAGAGGTGGAGGGGGACACCTGGGGTGGGGGCAGCGCCTTCCTGCCCTTGGGGGCTCTCCCTGCCTGCAGGGAATTGTGTGGCTTTTTCTTGCGCTGCACTGGACACCTCCTCCAGGAAGGCCTCTCAGATCCTCCTGGGTCACTGCTGACATAACCCCAGCTCCGGCACAGTTCCTGGCCCCTCCCAAATCCACAGTGTTCTAAATTCACATCTGACCTTGTTATCACCCCCATTAAAAATCCCTCCCTCCACAGCTGCCTGCTGCCCTCAGGACAGAATGCAAGAATTCAGCCGGGCACACCAGGTCCTGTGTGGTCTGGCCCTGCCAAGCCCCCAGATTCAGTTCACGCCAGACCTGCCTCATTCCAGGGTCTAATCGAGCTGCTCAGCTTTTTGTTCCTTGCCTCAAGGACTTTGTACAGGAACACGCTTCCCCTTACTCAGCAAACACCTGCTTTCCCTTCAGATCGCAGGTTAAATGCCATTCCCCCTGGAGGTCTCCTCTGGCCTCCCCTACTTCAAGTGGGAAACCCACGAGTTACCCCCTGTGAAGTTACTAGGCCAGGGTCTCTAAGGAAAGCTGTATCCCACTGGGTGCAGTGGCACGTGCCTATAGTCCCAGCTACTCAGGAGGCTGAGGCGGGAGGATCGCTTGAGCCCAGGGAGTCCTGGACTATAGTGCACTATGCTGATTGGGTGTTCGCACTAAGTTCAGCATCAATATGGTGACCTCCCGGGAGCGGGGGACCACCAAGTTGCCTAAGGAAGGGTGAACCAGGTCAGAAACAGAGCAGGTCAAGACGGGTTGATCAGCAGTAGGATCACACTTGGGATTAGCCCCTGCATTCCAGCCTGGGCAACATATTGAGACTCCATCTCTGAAAAAAATACAGGTTTTTTTTTTTTTAAGAAAAAAACTATAGCCCCGTGCCCAGAAGGATTTGCTGAGTGGACAAATGTGACTTCTCCCTCTGTTGCCCCACCTCACTACTTGGCCCTTTTTCACTGATGTCACCTTGTGTACTGGCTTTACCCCCGGCCCCATGCCGTGAGTTCCCCATGCATGCCGGCAGGGCCTCAAGCCTTGTCTTGGGTTTCAGTGCCTCCCACCATTGCTGACGACCAGACAGACTTCACCGTGACCATGATAGCACCCGTGGTCCTCACATGTCACAGCACAGGCGTACCAGCTCCGACCGTGTCCTGGAGCAAGGCAGGTGCCCAGCTAGGAGCTCGGGGAAGCAGCTATCGTGTCTCACCATCGGGTAAGTAAGGGTAATCCACAGAGAGAGGCAGCTGACGGGAGACTGGGAGAGCAGGCAGAGGGGGTGAAAGAAGGTCACGTGGTGGAACAGGATGGAACAATCTGGCCTGGCTCTGCCTCTCCTGGCTGTGTGACCTGGGAGGACCCTCTCGCCCTCTCTGAGCTCCATATTCTCCTCCATGCTCTGCAGTGTTGAGACCCATCAGTGGTTCCCCAAGACCCTCTGACATACAAGTGCTATTTCATGGTGAAATAAGAAAAATAGGGCCGGGCGCGGTGGCTCAAGCCTGTAATCCCAGCACTTTGGGAGGCCGAGACGGGTGGATCACGAGGTCAGGAGATCAAGACCATCCTGGCTAACACGGTGAAACCCCGTCTCTACTAAAAATATTTTAAAAAATTAGCCGGGCGCGGTGGCGGGCACCTGTAGTCCCAGCTACATGGGAGGCTGAGTGAGGAGAATGGCGTGAACCTGGGAGGCGGAGCTTGCAGTGAGTGGAGATCGCACCACTGCACTCCAGCCTGGGCGACAGAGCGAGACTCCGTCTCAAAAAAAAAAAAAAAAAAGAAAAAGAAAAATAACAGCTCCCTGGGAGTTTTTGTAAACCTAGTTTAATCCCATCAGAAAGATCCTCCTTTATTCTGAAATTATCTTTTGGTGTTGAAACTTCCTTTTCTTCATGATATTAAGATAATAGTACATGGTGATTTTTTTTAAGATGGAGTCTCACTCTGTCTCCCGGTCTGGAGTGCAATGGCGCTATCTCCGCTCACTGCAGCCTCCACCTCCCAGGTTCAAGGGATTCTCCTGGCTCAGCTTCCCAGGTAGCTGAGATTACAGGAACCTGCCATCATGCCTGGCTGATTTTTGTATTTTTGTAGAGATGGGGTTTCACTATGTTGGCCAGGCTGGTCTTGAACTCCTGAGCTCAGGTGCTCTGCCCTTCTCAGCCTCCCAAAGTGCTGGAATTACAGGTGCGAGCCACCATGCCTGGCCTAACGTGGTGATTGAGACAGAGTCTTGCTCTGTTGCCCAGGCTGGAGTACAGTGGCGTGATCTCGGCTCACTGCAAGCTCTGCCTCCTGGATTCACACCATTCTCCTGCCTCAGCCTCCCGAGTAGCTTGGACTACAGGCGCCCGCCACCACGCCCGGCTAATTTTTTGTATTTTCAGTGGAGACGGGATTTCACCATGTTAACCAGGATGGTCTCGATCTCCTGACCTTGTGATCTGCGTGCCTCGGCCTCCCAAAGTGCTGGGATTACAGGTTTGAGCCACTGCGCCCGGCCTAACATGGTGATTTTTTAAATGTCTTTGCTTCTCAAAATAAAACGTTGGAAGCTTTATGGAGAGTCTCCAAATTTGTTTGTTAGTTGGTTAGCGAAATCCTAAAGTCTAGGAACCACTGGCCAGACCTGTGATTTTCAAACTCTTCTGAAGCAATAGAACTTCTTTCCAGGCCGGGCACAGGGACTCGTGTCTATAATTCCAGCACTTTGGGAGGCTGAGGCAGGAGGACTGTTTGTAGCCAGGAGTTTGAGACCAGCCTGAGCAACACAGCAAGACCCCATCTCTACAAACACATTTTAAAAAATTAGCCGGGTGTGGTGGTGCATGCCTGTGGTCCTAGCTGCTTGAGAGGCTGAGGTGGGAGGATTGCTTGAGCGTAGGAGTTCAAGGATGCAGTGAGCTATGATTGCACCAGTGTACTGCAGCCTGGGCAACAGAGTGAGACCCTGTCTCAAAACAAAATACAAAACAAAAACTTCTTTCCAATAAGTATAAGTGGTAACAACAAAGTTCAACAGGTAAAACAAAACACAGTTCTGGTTCCAGCTGGGGCTGGGGCAGGCTGCGGGTGGGCCAGAGTGCTGTGGGCCTTGCTCCCTTCCCCCACCCAGCAGGCCCCCAGGGTTCCACGGAGCACAATTTACAACCCTCATCACTTCACTGCCCAGGTGCAGCCTGCAGTCTGGGAAGGTTAAAGTGGTGTTCACTGAGTAACCAAGGCTAAGGTCGGGAGGATAAAGGGAGGAGAGGAGGCAGTAATCCTGGGAGGCTTCCTAGAGGAGGTGAGTTTTTAGCAGAGCAAGGTGAGGATAGCAGGGTGTGGAACTGTGAGCAGGGGATTACAGGCAGGGGAGTGACAGATCCTGGAACTTTATAGCCAAAAGGGTCTAGAGACCATCTTGTCTGATTATTCATTGTACACACGGGGAAACTGAGGTCCAGAGAGTGGAAGGAGCTCGCCCATGCCTCTGCTTTGAGCAGGGCACAGAGGCAAACCTAGACGCCAGTTTCCTGTGTAGTCACATCCCCCAGACTGTTTTTAAATGAGCAAAGGAGGCAGGTTGAGTGACCAGAGACAGAATGGGATTGTGTAGGAGCCCTGCCACCTCCATCCCTGGGGACCTCTGTCCTGACCCCCTCACTCTGATTCCCACCCGCAGGCGCCCTGGAGATCAGGCAGGCCCTCCCCATCCATGCAGGCCGCTACACCTGCACAGCCCGCAACTCTGCCGGCGTCGCCCACAAGCACGTCTTCCTCACCGTGCAAGGTAAGAGTCTATGGTCCAGACCCCAGAGTTCCTAGGGTCAGGGGAGCAGGTGGAGAGCCAGAGGCAGGTGGGGCTCAGGAGGGAGGTGAGGTCTCAGAGGCCCAGACGTGTCTCTCATGGGATTCTTTGGGAGGAAAAGAATCAGCCATGGCGTCCTTGTTGCTGTGGCCGATGTTTCTAGAACCCCTGTCCTCCTTAGAGGCCTCTCTCTCTGATGCTCTGAGGCCCCCTGGTTGGAGGAGCTGTGTTATGGACATTCTCAGGGCCCTCTGCACCCCTGTCCTTTGTAGCCTCCCCGGTGGTGAAGCCGCTGCCCAGCGTGGTTCGGGCAGTGGCAGAGGAGGAGGTGCTGCTGCCCTGCGAGGCCTCAGGCATCCCCCGGCCGACCATCACCTGGCAGAAGGAAGGGCTCAACGTCCCTGCGGGTGAGGGCCCCTGGCAGCCAGCCTGGGAAGGGAAGAGAAGAGTGTGGGCCTGGGGAGTTCCTGTTTCCTGCCCTGGGAGACCCCGCAGACCTGCTGAGAGGTCCTGGAAAGCCCCTGGCCTGCCCAGACACGCCCCCACCCTTGCTCTGGCCTCCCCCTCCCCAACCCTTCTCCTGTCACCACGGCCTGAGATGCCATCCAAGCACTCGGTGGCTGAGTTGGGAGGTCGGGAGCAGGCAACTGGGTTGGGCTCGGGGTCAGGCTTCTTGGCTCCTTCTGTCCCTTGGTCACTCTGTGACCCCAGCAAGTCATTTGCTGCCTGTGAGACAGAATAGCCCAATCTACCCACCTCGGGGGTCCCCCACCCCAGCTCCCTGGCCCCCGATTTTCTTCTTCCTCATTCAGGAGTGAGTACCCAGGTCCTACCGGGCGGACAGCTGCGGATTGCCCATGCCAGCCCGGAGGATGCTGGAAACTATCTCTGCATCGCCAAGAACAGTGCAGGCAGCGCCATGGGGAAGACACGGCTGGTGGTGCAAGGTGGGTGTGAGGACGGGGCCGAGGTGGGCCCTGGCAACTGAGGGGCTTTGAGGCTCCTGCAGGCTTCTCCCTTCCCTGCCTGGCAGGGCACACTGCTTATAGTTCTAGAAGGAATTAAGGGGAACCTCTCTCATTGTGCACCTGAGTTCTGGGTTCAGACATAAACTTCCATCCCCTCTGCCTTCTCTCTGGCCCTGTGGAACATGAGTCCAGCATCCCTCATTCATTCCGGTTTCCAGTAGCTGCAGCCTCTCTGGCCCTGCTCTGGCACACACACCATTGCATGTGCCCTTCCCTTAGTTTGATTAATCATTGGCTTCAAAGATAAGGTGGCATCATTGGCCAAAAATCTGCAAAGTCTGCTGGGAATATTCAGTATGGGCTGGTCGTGTCTTGGCCCCAGTGGCCTGCTTTGTGGTATCTCAGTGGCTGTCCCCGCCCGCAGCTGTGTAGGGCTAAAGTCGGACTCTGGCTGTGAACTCAGAGGGGCTCCAGGCTCCAGGCTTCCTCCACACCTCCTTGTCCAGCATGCTCCTCTCCCCTCGGATCTGGAGCATCGCTGGTCACCAGACCAGCCGGACACCAAGCCAGTGACCCTCACTCTGCCCAGCATAGCTCCTCTGCAGGGATACTCTGTGATGGCTGCCCTGCTTTTGTCCGTGGAGGTGGCCTAGTACAAGGAGTTTGTGCCGAAGACCTCTGTCCTGTGGCTTTAGTCATCTGTGTGTGCACGTGTGTGTGTGTACATGTGTGCACAGGTGCAATGGAATCACCATCACAGCTACACCAAACTCAGGCAGTCCCCAAATCATCCTGAGCATGGGCAATGGCCTATGACTAGGGAGTTGGAGGGGGCAGCTGATGACCAGGGAGGGCTGAAGGGCTGGGCCAAAGGCCAGGGGCCCTGGGATGGGGTCAGCCGCCTCCCCCAGCCTCAGTTCCGAGTGGGCCTCCCTCTGCCCACAGTCCCACCAGTGATCGAGAATGGCCTCCCAGACCTGTCTACCACCGAAGGCTCCCACGCATTCTTGCCTTGCAAGGCCAGGGGCAGTCCTGAGCCCAACATCACCTGGGACAAAGATGGCCAGCCTGTGTCAGGCGCCGAGGGGAAGTTCACCATCCAGCCTTCTGGGGAGTTGCTGGTGAAGAACTTGGAGGTGAGGCACGCCCCGAGGGGCACAGCAGGGAATAATGGCTGAGACCCCTGTTTGTCATGCTCTGCGCCGAGCACAGTGCAGCCTTTAACCCTGGGAGCCTGGGGAAATCAGTGTTACCATGCCAGGTACAGACGGCCAGAACTAAGGCTCAAAGTGTACCTAGTTGTCCACCATTGCCAAGAGGCAGAACCCAAATTTGAACCTGGACTTCAGCAGCCAGCTCCTGGGGAAGGAGGGCTCAGGGATGTGGCGATGACTTCGTGTCCCGAAAGTCTACCCAGTTGTTCTCAACCATGCATTCGCATTAACTGTCCTCTGGGTTTTGGGGAGTGTTGAGCCGGGGGTATGGGTGGGACCCCCGACCCCGACCCCCTTTCCCTCAGAACTCATCAGATTCTGCAATTTTGTGATGCGACCCTCTCCGGATGGGTTCAGTGGACACACGTAAAAGGGTCAGGGGCATTGGACCGAGCTACCTGGGGAGCCTGGTGGAGCAGTGGCGAGTGCACCAGCCCTGCTTGAGTGTACCACAAAACTCCTCCTCTTGGAGCCCCTGCTGGGCCCTCTATCCGGGCACCAAAAGCAAGGCCTGCAGTGCAGATCAAGTTCTGAGCACAGGGCAGCACACAGTAGGTGTTTGGTAAACAGTAGCTATTGCAATCATGCAGTCAGCCCTGGGGTTATGAAGCAGCAGAGCGTGTGAACGCTACAGGGCAGGGCAAGGGTGCGGTGGCGGTGGTGATGCTGACCTGTTTGCTAGCTGTGTGACCTTGGGCAAGTCACTTCCCCTCTCTGGGCTGGATGCTCCGTGAGAACCTTCAAGGGTTAGCGGCATCCTGACCTATGCTGAGGTCGGGGAAGTTCTCCGGCCAACCCCTTTCTTTGCTCACAGGGCCAGGACGCAGGCACCTATACCTGTACCGCTGAGAATGCCGTGGGCCGGGCCCGCCGCCGCGTGCACCTCACCATCCTGGCGCTGCCTGTGTTCACCACCCTGCCTGGGGACCGCAGCCTGCGCCTTGGGGACAGGCTGTGGCTTCGCTGTGCAGCCCGGGGCAGCCCCACCCCTCACATTGGCTGGACTGTCAACGACCGGCCAGTCACAGGTCTGGGTCTGCTGAGCGTGGTTGGGAAAGAGAGCCAGGACCCCGGGAGGTCAAGAAGGGAGGGCAGGTGGGGAGACCCAACCTAGTGGAAAGGAAGAGGTTGTCAGTCAGCCCTGTTGGTTCTGGGTCTTCCAATGTGGCCCTATGTAGGCGGACAGGGCAAACCCAGCTGTGGCCATATGTGACAAGCCATATATCAGAGCTGGCAAGAGGCCGCCCAAGAAGAGTCAACCTAGAGACCTCAGGGCCAGGACGGGGAGGCCTGTGTTCTAGCCCAGAGCTACTGCTCCCATTGTGGGACCCTCAGCAAACCCCTTTTGCCGGGGGGCTGTGGGGGCTCTGTCCTCCTACCGGAAACCCAGGTGATGTCTAGGGAGACACAGGGCCTGTGGAGTACCTGCTGGGTACTCAGTGTCTGCTGAGTTGATAAATTGCTAAGTCCCCTCCACTGCAAAATGATACTTTCCTATATTAGGATATGACATCACACATTCCTAACTCTGAGTCCCCAGGTGTGGAATACCCGTGCACACCTGTGGTGAAGGCTTTGCTGGGCCCCACCGCTTCTTGGGGAGGGACCTTGGGCAAGTATAATAGTTCGGCCTCTCTGAGCTCTGCTCTCCATCTGTCAAATGGACATAACCAGGGGTCCTGAGGACAGAATGACAGTGGAGGGGCCGTGCTCAGCACAGGCCTGGCCCAGAGGAGATGCCTAATTGATGGTGATGCTTGTCCATATTCCTCTCCTAGAAGCAATGGCCAACCCCAAAGGAAAAGTCCATTATTAGAATCCTTCTCTCGGCCGGGCACGGTGGCTCATGCCTGTAATCCCAGCATTTTGGGGGGCCAAGGTGGGCGGATCACCTGAGGTCAGGAGTTCAAGACCAGCCTGGCCAACATGGTGAAACCCCGTCTCTACTAAAAATACAACATTAGCTGGGCGTGGTGGCACATGCCTGTAATCCCAGCTACTCGGGAGGCTGAGGCAGGAGAATTGGTTGAACCTGGGAGATGGAGGTTGCAGTGAGCCGAGATCGTGCCATTGCACTCCATCCTGGGCAGCAAGAGCGAAACTGTCTCAAAAAAAAAAAAAAAGGGAATCCTCTCTAGAAATTGTAGCAGTGTGTCAGTAAGTGCCCTGTGCAAAGAGGTCCCCAAAGACCTGCCCTTGACCGTTTATCAAACACACAGTGTGCGCTGGAAAATGGTAGAAAGCGGGTTCATTAACTGCAGCCTCCAGTGTGGCCTGTGCCTCCCAGGAACGGGTCTGGCTTGATTAGCCTTCACCCGGGACTCCCATCTGTTTCTGCGTTTTTATTAAGTTCCTGCAGGTACCCACACACCAGGGAAGTGTTGAGAGCAGGAGTTCCCCGCACCCGACTCAGAGTCCCCCTCGGGCTTCTCTTTCTCCACCACAGAAGGGGTGTCTGAGCAGGATGGAGGCAGCACGCTGCAGCGGGCCTCTGTCTCCAGAGAAGACAGCGGGACCTATGTCTGCTGGGCGGAGAACAGAGTGGGCCGCACGCAGGCGGTCAGCTTCGTCCACGTGAAGGGTAAGGCGCATTTCCCAGGTGGCTTCTCTCTCAAGACCTCCAGTCTACTGGGACCCAATCTATTGGTTTCCTGAGAACCTGGCCTCCTGTCCTCTGAACTAGTGGCTCCCCCCCTCCGACTGCATGTTAGAATCCCCTGGGGGACTTGAAATTCCAAAGCCCAGCTTCTTCCTCCAACTCTGTAAACCAGCCTCGCTGGGGTGAGGCCTAGGCATCAGTATTTTTGACACTCCCAAGACAACCCTGGCTGCAAGTAGAATTGGAATCTGACCAATTGCCCTACAGCACTACCTGCAGCTGGATGGTGCCAGGGTAGAAGGAGAGCATGGGGGCCAGGGCATCCTGGCAGAAAAATGCCAGAAGCTTGCCAGCCAGCCGGTTGTCTCCTATGACCTACTCATCTACCAAGAGTAGCACAGGAGCCCTCGGTGACGCCATGACTTAGTTTGCACAACTTCGGGATGGGTGGGGCCGGATGGAGGGAATCAGCAGCCCCAGGCACCAAAAGAGAACTGCAGCTTTTGGTAGATCCAACCTCAGGAAACCAGGAAGGATATAAGCCAGTCCAGAGCCTCCAAGAGTGTTTTGAGATTAGCATGAATCTCATAGTGTTGCTTTGTACAACAGAGGTGTCTAGGGTTCTTGTTTTTTTATAGTTATTGATTTCCAAAGTACCTAGCAGGTACTCCGCTGCTAGTGTCATCCATCTGTGAGAGAGTGTATGACACGCGTAGCACTGCGTCCCTGCCTGTGCCCATCTCAGGCATCACTAATCAATCACAGCACTGTTCTCATTCAGCTTCAAATGCTTCTTAGCACAGTTCCTGGAAACCACTGCCAGTCTTTGTGACTTGACCCATGACATGGACACTGTTTGCTGTCCCTGATGCACTGACTACACACAACCATGCTGGGCTAGCAGGAGCCTCTGGAAGTCCCTGGAGGCAGGAGTTGGGCAGACCTTTGGGGTTTATGGGAGGTTGAGCCTGTAGGGGCCTCTTTTCTGACAGCTTGCTCCATGTCACCCCATGCAGAGGCTCCTGTCCTACAAGGGGAGGCTTTCTCCTACCTGGTGGAACCTGTAGGAGGCAGCATTCAGCTAGACTGTGTGGCGCGTGGAGACCCAGTGCCAGCCATCCGCTGGGTCAAAGATGGCCTTCCACTGCGGGGCAGCCGCCTCCGGCACCAGCTGCGGAATGGCTCACTGACCATCCGCAGGACTGAGGCAAGGCAGGGCCTGGCACCTTGGGTGGGGCCACCAAGGACAACTCTATGCTTTTTCTGATTGCTCAAGAGGGTTCTTCATGTTGCCCCCCCGCTTCTGCAGTCTACAAAGCACCTCCCTGCCCATTCCCCAGACATCCTCCCACTACCACCAATATTGACCTCCGGCCACTGGGCTTTTCTGTTCCTCGGTCATCCACCCATTCAATGGAGCAAATTCGTTCTACCTCATAGGATTGTAATTAGAAACCAGTGAGATGTCTCATATGCATTATTTAAGAGTGATCTGTGGGTAATGCTCCCAAAATGTTGTTATTAACAACCTCAGGGGCAGGGTAGGCAGGTAATCGTGCTCCCTATTTGCAGACGAAGACACTGAAGTTCAGAGAGGCCCACAGCCAATAAGTACAGGAGGCAGGGCCCCCACCCCCAGGTTTCCTGCCTCAGGGTCCGTGCTGTTTCCAAAGCCTTGGGCCCTGGGGCAGCCCCCTTAACTTCCATTTTGTGCCTCAAGTTCTGGTGATTGTGCAGAAATCCCCAAGTCAGTCCTGACTCAAGTTCGTCTTAGGGGCCTTGATCTTACCCATTTGGGAGCCTTTCTCTGGGTAGTAATAGTAATAGGACTAGTAATAAGAGTAGAAGTAAGAGCAATGGTAATAATGACTCCTGTCGCCCAAGTACTAACTGTGGGCCAGGCACGGGGCCTCGCACTTAGCAAGCATTGTTCCATTTAATGCTTATAAGATCCTAGCAGTTATCATTCCCATTTTACAGAAGGGGAAACTGAGGCTCCAGAAGCATGAAAATGTCCTAAGTAATGGGTTCAGGGCAGTAAGCAGCGGGGTTGGGATTCAGTCCCACGTTGGTCTGACCTCCAAACCTACACTCTTAACTTTGTGCCATGCAGTCCCCCCGAGTCCTTTGGGTGTGGCCCACTAGATACCATCTTCTGGGAGTGGATGGTGGCCTCAGACTGCCCCAGCCCCATCTCATGGTGGTGCTGCCACTCAGAAGTGATGTGAGCCAGCGTGCCACCTGAGTTCCATCACATATCCGTGGGCCACCTGTTAGGGCCACACTGCAAACCGTCTCCCTTCTGGAAGACTCACTTTGCACACTGGCACCATAAATGCCCCGAGAGGTCCTGCCATCCTGTTTGTACAACAGAGGGGTCTAATGTTCTTGTTTTCCTATAGTTATTGATTTCCTAAGTACCATAACATGTCATCTAACTCACTATCTCCCAAACTTACTTCACCATGGAACCCTTTTTTCCAAAGAGTCTCAAATAATGTGCCATGGGACAGTAAGATGTCAACGTACACAGTTTGGAAGAGGTGGATCTACACCATGCTTTCCCAGCAAGTTGTTCCACCTAAGGCAACAGGGACCTTAGTCACGGCCCCCCATTTTCGGGTGTGAAAAGGGGCTGCATTCTCTTTGCATGTCTGCTGACAAGTGGTCACAGAGGCCCTTCCGATGCTCCGTGGGGGATCAGGTGTCCCTGGCTGGTTCACAGCCTAAGCCCCTTGCTGGCTGGCTGGCCTCAGTCCCCTACCCAACTGTCTGAGCTGCTCGTCTTCTTCTCTGAGCACCGTGCCCCCTCTTCTGTGCCCACTTGCAGAGGGACGATGCGGGACAGTACCAGTGCCTGGCAGAGAACGAGATGGGCATGGCGAAGAAAGTGGTGATCCTCGTCCTGCAGAGTGAGTCTCGGCCTCAGCAGAGTGGGGACGTGGGAAGTGTGCTTGGGGACAGCGGTGGTGTGAGTCGCCTAGAGGGCAGACAGGCAGGGCCGAGACTTGGAATTCTTTCATTAATGCTTATTTGGAACACACAGTGAATCCTGTCAAATGTTTCCCAAATGTGGGGTGAGTGAGACTCAGGACTGAGCTCAAGAAAACCTGGCGACGTGGGGCCAGGGGGAGCTGGGCATTTAAAACTCAGACCAGCCGTCGAGATCACCGCAACAGCTCTCGCAGGTGCCAGGCAGCTCGTAGTTTACCAGGCGCTGTTTGAGCCTCAGGATGACACTGTGAAGTTGTCTCAATAGGGATTCTGTAGAAAATGTTTTATTGAAGATGAATACCTGTGGAGAAGAGCGAGGATCCGAAGTGCGGAGCTCAGTGAGTTTTTACAATGCGAACCCACCCAGTTAACCAGCAGTGAGGTCAAAGAAACAGGACAGCGCCGGCTCCCATCCTCCAGCATGCCCACCTCTGTTCACTGCCCCCTGCCCACTAATTACTGCTCTGGATTCTGCCTCTTTAAAAAAAAAAAAGAAAAAGAAAGAAACTTTATTGAGTTATAATTTGCATACCATAAAATTCACCCATTCATTCAATGCAATATTATTTAACCTTAAAAAGGAAGGAAATTCTAGGGCTGGGCTCGATGACTCACATCTGTAATCCCAGCACTTTGGGAGGCCGAGGCAGGTGGATCACCTGGAGTCTGGAATTCGAGAACAGCCTTTCCAACGTAGTGAAACTCTGTCTCTACTAAAAATACAAAAATTAGCTGGGCGTGGTGGCGCGCCTGTAATCCCAGTTGTTCAGGAAGCTGAGGCAGGAGAATCACTTGAACCCAGGAGGCAGAGGTTACAGTGAGCCAAGATCGTTCCACCATACTCCAGCCTGGGTGACAGGCAATACTCAGTCTCAAAAAAAAAAAAAAAAAAAAAAAGAAGCAAAAGGAAGGAAATTGCTGACACAGTACCAACAAAGTATGAACCTTGAGATCGTATGCGAAGTGGAAAAAGCCAGTACAGAAAAGAAGAAACACTGGTATGATTCTGTTATATGATGAGGTCCCTAGATAGTGGTCAAAAAGCATAGAGAGCCCAAAGTAGATATCGGAGCTTGCCGAGGCTGCGTGATGTGGGGAGTAAGGGGAGGTTAGTGTTATAATGAGTCGCAGTAGTTTCAGTTATAGGCCAGGGAGAAAAGTTACTGGAAATTGTATCAACAAGTGTCAAAGTACTTCAACGCAATGACGGAACTGTATCCTTTGTAGCGAAGTGGTTCAATGATAATTTTATGTAATGTATTTTTGTACCCAGTTATTGTTATAATTTATTTTTTGGACAGGTCTGTGCTCTGTTGCTCAGGCCGGATGCAATGCACCATTCTCTGTCCACTGAACCTCTGTCCTCCCCAGGGGTTCAAGCGAATTCGTCTCAGTCCTGCCGTATCTGGATTATAGATGCCCACCACTCACGCCTGGCTAATTTTGTGTGTTTTAGTAGAAACGGGTTTCACCATGTTGGCCAGGCTGGTCTTGAACTTCTGACCTCAGGTGATCCACCTGCCTTTGGCCTCCGAACGTGCTGGATTTACAGGCGTGAGCCACTGCACCCAGCACTTGTGCGCATTCTTAAATGGATTGTTTATCTTACTAGTGATTTTCTATAGTTCTTTAATTACCATGGATATAGCCCTTTATCAGATACATGATTTGCGCAAATATTTCTCCCGATCTGTGGCTGTCTTTGCATTTTCTTAATGGTGACTTGAAGAGCAAAAGTGTTAAAATTTGGTGAAGTGCAAATTCATCCATTTCGGTATTTTTTGAATCATGTATTTGGTGTTAACACCTTTTAAAAAATCTTTGCCTAACCTAAGGTCATCTTTTTCTTTTCTTTTCCTTTCCTTTCCCATCTTTTCTCTTCCTATCCTTTCCTTCCTCCTTTCTTTCTCTCTTTCTCTTTCTTCTTTTTTTCTCTCTCTCTTTCTTTCTCTTTCTTCTCTCTTTCTCTCTCTCTTTCTCTTTCTTTCCTTCCTCCTTCCTTCCTCCTCCCTCCCTCCTCCCTCTTCTTTCTTCCTTCTTTCTTTCTTTCCTTCCTTCCTCCTTCCTTCCTTCCTTCCTTTCCCTTCTTTCTTTCTTCTTTTTTTCTTCTTTCTTTCTTTCTTTCTTTCTTTCTTTCTTTCTTTCTTTCTTTTCTTTCTTTCTTTCTTTCTTTCTTTCTTGTCTTTTTCTTTTTTTTTTTTTCTTTTAAGTTTTTTGAGACAGAGTTTCACTCTGGTACCAAGGCTGGAGTGCAGTGGGCAAGATCTCACTCACTATGCACCCCAAAGTTTCCAGCATTCCTTGTGCCTCAACCTCCCAAGTAAGTGGATTAGGCAGGCCCGCACCACACACCTGGCTAATTTTTGTAATTTTAGTAGAGACGAGGTTTCATCGTGTTGCCCAGGCTGGTATCAAACTCCTGGGCCTCAAGCAATCCACCGGCGGGCCTCTAAAGGTGTGGATTACAGCGGTGAGCCACTGGGGCCTACATTTTCTTATTATATTTTGTGTGTAGTTGTGTTGTTGTCACATTTAGTCTGTGATCCATTTTGAGTTAATTTTGTGTGGGGTAAGGGTCTACTTCCTTTTTTTTGCATATGGAGAGCCAATTGTTCTAGTACCATTTATGTTGATCTTTAGTTTCTTTCAGTCATGTTTTGTGGTTTTCAGTGTACTGGTGTTATATTTTTGTTAAATTGATTTTAAGTCTTTTTATTATTGTTGATGCTATTTTTGGTGGAATTGTTTTCTTTGATTTTTGAATTTGTAATTGATAATATGTAGAGATACAGTTGCATCTGATATCATATCATGTATGAATAGGTACAGTTTGACTTCTTTCTTTCAAATCTGTGTACCTTGAAGTTTTTTGCTTTGCCTTATTGCCTCGATTGAACCCCCTGGTACACAGTTGAAGCGGCGAGAGCAGCCATCCTTGCCGGGTTCCCTGGTTCCCTGGTTTAGGCGGAAAGCAGTCGGTCTTTCACCATGGGGTGTGATGTTAGCCGTGAGATTTTGTGGACGTCCTTTCTCAGGCTGAGGAAGTTCCCCTTTTGCACCTAGTGTGTTGAGGGTTTGGGTCATGCGTGGAATAGGTTTGTGGTTCCAGACAAGATGGTATAGATGCACTTCTCCCTATTTCTCTTGCTAAGGACAGCTGAACACCTTGGACTTTATCTAGAAGCAAACAGAAAGAGCCTTTGAAAAGCAGAGAAAAGGAGGAGGATAGACTACCGATCTTGGGACCTGAGGAGCAATATGGTGTTGAATGCTCGGGTGTTTCTTTTAGTCCCTTATATCCTGGAACCACCAGTGGGCTCAGACATACAGACATACACACACACACACACACGCGGGCATGTGTGCACCTCAACAAGAGCCTGTCCTCACTTGCAAGGAACTAGAATAAGGACAGCATAGTAAGAAAGAAAACTTGTAAATAACAACCCCCAACCGGGTGTGGTGGCTCATGTCTGTAATCCCAGCACTTTGGGAGGCTGAGGTAGCCAGATCGCTTGAGCTCAGGAATTTGAGATCAGCCTGGGGAATATGGTGAAACCCCATCTCTACCAAAAATACAAAAAAAAAAAAAAATAGATGGGCATGGTGGCGCACGCCTGTAGTCCCAACTACTTGGGAGGCAAACACCATGAAAAACACCACAGCCCCATCATCCAACTAACTGGGAGCCCGCATTTCCACCCTCACCCCCTGTACTGAGGCACTGCTCTCCCCACACTGGAGCGGGATGCTGTCAGGTGACACCTCATGAAGAGGCGGAATTGTCACCACTGTCATCTGAGTGGGAAGCTCCTCCCCTATCAGGCCAGGTATACAGCCAGGGTAGTGCCACCAGAGGCCCAGAGTGGGCACGCCTCCACCCATGCCCAGCAGTAATGAGGGCACCCCTCCCTGTTCCGAGATGTCCATGGAGGCCTCGTTGGGAACCTGGGCTTCCACTCTGACCTGGCAGAAGTGAGTGGCACCGCTTTTTCTTGGCAGTGTTCCAGATCTGCCGAAAATGGAAGATTTAAATAAACATCTGAGTCATACAATACTGAAACTCACTTACGTGCCAGGAGCAAGGAAAATCTCAATTTACATACCAGGAACAAGGAAAATCTCAATGAAAGCAGACAACAGACGTCAACTGAGATAGTAGACATATTAGGTAATCTGATAAGGACCTTTTTTTTTTTTAGACAAGGTCTGACTCTGTTGCCCAGGCTGGAGTGCAGCGACATGATCATGGCTCACCTCAGCCTTGGCTCAGGTGGTCATCCCACCTCAGCCTTCCAAGTACCTGGGACTGCAGGCACGTGCCACCACACCCGGCTGATTTTTATTTTTATGTATTTATTTTTTTGTAGAGATGGGGTCTCCTTATGTTGCCTAAGCTAGTCTCAAACTCCTGGGCTTAAATGATCCACCTGCCTCAGCCTCCCAAAGTGGTGGGATTACAGGCATGAGCCACTGTGCCTGACCAAGACTGAACTGACACCACTGCCATCCACTGAGTGGGAAGCCCCTCGCCTACACAGGCTGAGTGGGGAGCAACAAGCAGGACCCCTCTCCCTCCCAATCAGGGTGGTGCCAGCAGAGCCCCACTTGAAGCGCCAGCTCCCACCAATACCCAGCAATAATGAGGCACCCTCCCCGTTCCCGGGTGTCCATGGAGGCCACGTAGGGAACCCGGACTTCCACTTCCACTCTCCTCTGGCAGAAGTGAGTGGCACCTCCTTTCCCTGGCAGCGTTCCAGGTCTGCTAAGATGGAAGATTTAAATCTTATCATACTGAAACTCACTTATCATACCGAGAACAAGGAAAAATCTCAACTCGAATGAGAACCGACACGCAACAGACACCAACTGAGATAGCACAGATGTTTGAGTCATCTGATAAGGATTTCTTTCTAATTTTTTGACGGGATCTTGCTCTGTCACCCAGACTGGAGTGCAGTGGCACAATCGCAGCTCACTGCAGCCTTGACCTCCCGGGCTCAAGCAATCCTCCCACTTCTCAGCCTCCCAAGTAGCTGGGACTGCAGGTGCACACCACCATGCCCGGCTACTTTGTTTATTTTTTTGTAGAGATGAGGTCTTGCTATGTTGCCCAGGCTAGCTGACAGGGATGCTTCTATGAGCAGTTGTCAACATGCTTGAAAGAAGTGAAAAAAAAAATAACAAAATCTCAGCAAAACATGGCTGTGGAGTAATTTGAAGTTCAGGCAGTTTTCAAATCGGCCTCGGTTTGACTGTCCTTTGTACCCCTCAGGTCTCCCCTGCACAGGTGCATATTTCCCACGTTGGCCAGGGATTGTGGGGAGCCGATCCAGCCTGTCCGTGGCTCCTTCATTTCCAGGTTCTCCCCGTTAAGTTGCTGACTGGGCCCCTGCTCTTCTCAGCCAGGGCCATGCCACAGGCCAGCGCAGCAGCCGTTTTTCTTTTGGTTCCTACCAGTTTTGCCCCTTTTCCTGATGATATTTCTCAGGGCACGTTTTCATCTTCTACTGCACATCAAGACAGCCCTCAGGGGTGGCAAAAGCTGCTGGGTTTTGTTTTGTTTTGTTTTGTTTTTGAGACGGAGTCTCGCTCTGTCACCCAGGCTGGAGTGCAGTGGCACGATCTCAGCTCGCTGCAAGCTCCGCCTCCCGGGTTCATGCCATTCTCCTGCCTCAGCCTCCTGAGTAGCTGGGACTACAGGCGCCCGCCACCACACCTGGCTAATTTTTGTATTTTTAAGAGAGATGGGGTTTCACCGTGGTCTCAATCTCCTGACCTCGTGATCCGCCCACCTTGGCCTCCCAAAGTGCTGGGATTACAGGCGTGAGCCACCACGCCCGGCCCCAAAGCTGCTATTTTTGACAGTCATCCCTAATAAAATCACTGTGAGGGTCACAGTGGGATAAGGATGGGAATAGCCCTAGGCAGGAGACCAAAGGTTTCACTGTTCTTATCCAAAGTTCTAGAGGCTTTTTTTTTTTTTTTTTTTTTTTTGAGACAGAGTCTCACTCTGTCACCCAGGCTGGAGTGCAGTGGCACGATCTCAGCTTACTGCAACCTCCACCTCCCAGGTTCAAGAGATTCTCCTGCCTCAGCCTCCCAAATAGCTGAGATTACAGGCGCCCACCACCTCGTCACAGCTAATTTTTGTAATATTAGTTGAGATAGAGTTTCACCATGTTGGCCCCACTGGTCTCGAACTCCTGACCATAGGCCATCCGCCCACCTCAGCCTCCCAAAGTGTTGGAATTACAGGCATGAGCCACTGTGCCCAGCCTTAGAGGCTTTTTATGGATAAATGCTTCTCAAGACCTGGCACGACAGCTCACAGCTGTAATCCCAGCACTTTGGGAGGCCAAGGTGGGAGGATCACTTGAGTTCAGGAATTTGAGACCAGCCTGGGCAACACAGTGAAATCCCATCTCTACAAAAAATAAATAAATTAGCCAGGTGTGGTGGCACGCACCTGTAGTCCCAGCTACTTGGGAGGCTAAGGCAGGAGGATGGCTTGAGCTGGGAGGTCAAGGCTGCAGTGAGCTGAGATCGCATTCCAGCCTGGGCGGCAGAGCGAGGCTCCATCTCAAAAAAAAACAAAGAATGTAAATGCTTCTCAATTTGTTGTGTGTCTTTGGTTGATTTTGGGAGCCCTGAAACTGTTATTTGGGGCAAGTATATCCAGTTTTATGCTTGTTTATGGGGGCAGTTAGCTGACCTCTTCCCTGAGCCACAGCTGATGACTGACTCTTGCTTATTTTGACATTTATTTATTTATTTATTTATTTATTTATTGAGATGGAGTCTCACTCTGTCACCCAGGCTGGAGTGCTGTGGCACAATCTTAGCTCACTGCAACCTCCGCCTCCTGGATTCAAGCAATTCTCCTGCCTCAGCCTCTAGAGTAGCTGGGATTACAGGGACCTGCCACCACACCCGGCTAATGTTTGTATTTTTAGTAGAGACAGAGTTTCACCATATTGAACCTAGGAATTTGAGAAGAGTCTGGCAAATATGGTGAAACCCTATTTCTACTAAAAAAAAAAAAAATACAAAAATTAGCCAGGTGTGGTGGTCTGTGCCTGTAATCCTAGCTACTTGAGAGGCTGATGCAGGAGAATTGGTTGAACCTGGGAGGTTGGTCTCGAACTCCTGACTTAAGGTGATCCACTCACCTTGGCCTCCCAAAGTGTTGGGCTTACAGGCGTGAGTCGCCATGCCTGGCCTCGACCTTCATTTAAATGGAATCACCCCACACGCGTTTTTGCATAGACTCTTCTTTTGCGCATCATTATTTGTGGCATTCGTCCGTACTGTTCACATGGAATTCGTTTATTGGTTCTCATTGCCGTATGTTCTTCTGCTACATGGATGTACTACAGTTTATTCGTGTATTCCACTGTAGGTTAGTTTCCAGTGATGGGCAGTTTAGAACAGGGGCTGCTGTGACCTTCTTACGCACGCCCTCCGGTGAACGCGCACACACACTTGTGTTGGGGTATTTGGCCAGCAGCAGAAGCGCTAGGTCTCGTAGTACACGTGTTCCGCTTTAGGACACATGGGCTGTGTCGTATCTGACGAACGGCTCTCAAAGATAGGTCCAGGTCCTAGTCCCCAGGGCCTGCGAATGTTTCCTTACTTGGAAAAGGAATCTTTGCAAATGTAATTAAGTTAAGGATCTTAAAGTAGGCAGATTACCTCGGTGGCCCCTAAATGCTATCACAAGTGTTTTATTTTGGGGTGTGTTTTTTTTTTTGAGATGGAATCTCGCGCTGTTGCCCAGACTGGAGTGCAGTGGCGCAATCTCGGCTACTGTAACCTCTGCCTCCCAGGTTCAAGGTTTTTTTGGGGGGGGTTTTTTTGAGATGGAATCTCGCGCTGTTGCCCAGACTGGAGTGCAGTGGCGCAATCTCGGCTACTGTAACCTCTGCCTCCCAGGTTCAAGCAATTCTCCCGCATCAGCCTCTCAAGTAGCTAGGATTACCAGCACAGACCACCACACCTGGCTAATTTTTGTATTTTTTTTTTTTTTTTTTTTTTTAGTAGAAATAGGGTTTCACCATATTTGCCAGACTCTTCTCAAATTCCTAGGTTCAAGCAGTCCACCCACCTCAGCCTCCCAAAGTGCTGGGGTTACAGGCATGAGCCACCATACCCGGCTACAAGTATTCTTATAAAAGAGAGCCCGGGCCGGATGTGGTGCTTCACGACTATAATCCTAACACTTTGGGAGGCCGAGGAGGGTGGATCACCTGAGGCTGGGAGTTTGAGACCAGTGTGATCAGTATGGCAAAACCCGTCTCTACCAAAAGTACAAAAATTAGCCGGGCGTGGTGGCGCACGCCTGTAATCCCAGCTACTCGGGAGGCGGAGGCAGGAGAATCGCTTGAAGCCAGAAGGCAGAGGTTGCAATGAGCTGAGATCGTACCACTGCACTCCAGCCTAGGTGACAGAGTGAGACTCTGTCTCAAAAAAAAAAAAAAGAGAGAGAGAGAGCTGGGGAAGTGTGGCAGGGGAGAGAGAGAGAGGAGAAGGTAAAGTGGAGATGGAGGCAGAGGATGGATTGTTGTAGCCTCAGGCTAAGGAATGCTGGCGGGCGGAAGCTGGAAGAGGTGAGGAATGGGCTGTCCCCCAGAACCTCTGGAGGGAGCAGGGCATCTGAACTTTGGCCCAGTGAGGCTGATGTGGGCCTCCTGGCCTCCACGGTTTCTCCCGTGTTTCTGCAACTTGCTGCAGCATCCGCAGGAAGTGAACACGCAGGCACACAGCAGCCCACTTTGGCTGAACCACGTTGCATTTCCACCGCAGTGTGTGCGAGTTCTGCTTGTTCTGCAGCCTCACCAGCACTGGGCCTTTCCCATCCTTTCCATGTTAGCCTTCCAGGAGGGTCTGTGATAGTAAGTGGACAGGAAGCATCATCCCCATATTTCAGATGGGAACACTGAGGGTCAGGGAGTGACTTGGTGAGAGTCACCCACAGTAGGTGACAGAGCCCTAGAGGCAGTTCTGACAGATGGCGCCAACTTCATTGGAAGCAGCCTAACTGTCCTGTAGGAGAGGCTTGGTTTAGCCAATCCCAGTAGAGCCAGGCAATAGAAGACTACCTAGCCACTAACAAGAGATATGCAACTGCATGGAAAGGTAGTTACGCTCTATTGGGGAGGAAAAATAAAAGCAGATGGCCGGGCATGGTGGCTCTGCCTGTAACCCCAGCACTTTGGGAGACTGAGGCGGGTGGATCACCTGAGGTCAGGAGTTCAAGACCAACCTGGCCAACATGACGAAACTATGTCTCTACTAAAAATACAAAAGTCAGCGAGGTGTGGTGGCAGGCGCCTGTAATCCCAGCTACTCAGGAGGCTGAGATGGGAGGATCACTTGAACCCGGGAAGCGGAGGTTGCAGTGAGCCAAGATCGCACCACTGCACTCCAGCCTGGGGGACAGAGCAAGATTCCGTCTCAAAAAATAAAATAAAATAAAATAAAATAGTAAAGTAAAATAAAATAAAAGCAGATATGGCCATATGATCATATTTTCATAAAGCAACAGTGTCTAGAGGGAAATATTCAGGAAGGATGACTGGGTGGAAGGATCCTATGCAGTTCTTATTTTCTTCTTTCTGCCTCTCTGGATTTCTCAGTATGTCTAAATGAACATATTCCACTTGAATATGCAAAAATAATTAAATGTTCCTAAAAGCCACCTGGGCCTCCCACAGGTGCTCCGGTGTTCCAGGTGGAGCCCCAGGACATGACAGTGAGATCCGGGGATGACGTGGCTCTGCGATGCCAGGCCACTGGAGAGCCCATACCCACCATTGAATGGTTGAGGGCGGGTCAACCCTTGCGGGCCAGCCGGCGACTCCGGACCCTGCCTGATGGGAGCCTGTGGCTGGAGAATGTGGAGACTGGGGATGCAGGCACCTACGACTGCGTCGCTCACAATCTCCTGGGCTCTGCCACAGCCCGGGCGTTCCTGGTCGTGAGAGGTACGGGGCAGCCCTGTCTGGACCTCTGTGGACAGAGGCAGGATCTCTTGCCAATGGGGATTGTGTGGTGCTTATGGGGGACCTGTCCCCTGCCTTGCCAGCTCCCCACCTCTTCCCTTTGCTTTGTCACAAGCCCAGAATGAACCCCTACCCTGCCCATTTACAGTTGTGGAAACTGAGTCTTGGAGGTGCTAAGTGTTTGCCACTCATCTTGGACAGGGAACACTGGCCTGGCTGTTCTCTCTTAACTGGCACAAATGCATGTCCTCTGTCTGGACGCTGCACAGCCCCTGGAAGCAGGCAGAGGAAGTCAAGGGCATCCCTGGTGCCCTCAGGGGCTGCTGCAAAAAGTCTGTGGGTCAGTGCGTGTGCCAGGTGTCACACATTGCCTGGCCATGGCAGGTGGTTGGAAAAGTGATGGCTTCCTGGTGGGATGGACCCCTGCCATCTCAGATTCCTCAATCAGCTCCCTTCTCCCTTGGGTCAGACCAACTTTAAAATTAAGAAAAGATCTATCCTGAGAAACCACAGTAAATGGATTCAGCCCTGCATAAAGGCAAGTCATAAGATATTATTTCTGTGGCCTGTGCCTCCGGAGGGAACACTCCATATGTGTGGCGATGCGTCCCCCTCCCTGTACCTGGCAGACATCACTAATCTATCACCACAAGGGAACACTCCCTATATGTGGCAATGCATCTCCCTCCCTGTCCCTGGCAGACATCACTAATCTATCACCACATGTGCTGGCAGAATTTTTCTCCAATGAGCCCTCCCAGGCAGCGCCTCTCAGATAATTGGAATTGGGTCTTGACACTCGGCCCCCTGGAAATCCATGTGAAACCCACAGCCAACCAAATGTGGGACCCTCTCTGGCCCCTGCTCTCATTATCTCCCATAGGCCGGGACAGGGTACCAACATATGCAGCTCTGAAAGTTCAGCAGTTCTCTGACCCCCCAGCCGCAGATGCGGTCTCGGAGTTAGCCTTGGGTCTAAGCAGACCCCCCTCTATTTCAGGGCTTTGTCCCACTTCTTACCCTCTCCTGTTGGCAGGCCCCAGTCCAAACCACGGAGCTATGTACGTGGCCTTTGTATTTGTTCTCTAGGGCTACGGTAAAAAAAAAATACCACAAGCTGGAGGCTTAAGGCACACTGATTGTCTCACGGTTTTAGAGGCTGGAAATCCAGGATCACACTGTCAGCAGCCCTGGTTCCTGCTGAGCACTTTGGGGAGGATATGGTCCGACCCTCTCTCCCAGGGTCTTGCTGGTGGTCCTCGGCATTCTGTGGCTTGTCGAAACATCACCCCCACCTCTGCCTTCATCTTCCCTGTGTGTGTCTACGCTTCCCTATTTATAAGGACACAGTCATGTTGGATTAGGCCTGCCCTAATGACCTCATTCTAACTTGGCTTACTCTATAAAGACCCTGTCTTCAAATAGGGTCACATTCTGAGGTCCTGGGGGTTAGGACTTCAACGTATGAATTTTGGGTGGGGTGGTACCATTCGACCCATAACCCAGCCTCCTTATTTTTGTAATAGAAACAAGTATTCTTCTTTTATATATGTTACTTGTAGAAAGGCCGGCTACTGTAGAAATCTGTGAAGAAGAAGGTCATTCTCTCCCATAATTCAATGACCCAAAGTAGCGTAAGCAGTTATTCGGGGAGATACATTCTTCCACACTGTTTTCTCTGGATATAAGAGATACACTTCTCTTTTTACAAATGTCAAATTTACAACCTCTATAACCTGCCATTTTTACTTCCTCTATCTTGGAAGACATCCCATTATGATACCCATCGGTCCACAGCTTTTTTATTGGCTTCATATCATTCCATGGGAACGTTTTTTATCTTCATTCCTGTAGGCTTTGTCAAATGAGCAACGTAGTTTATTTTTCTACTTTCCATTCCCCAAAACCACACCGTGCTGTGCATCTTTGTGTGTGGCCCTGAATATTTCTATGGGACGATTTCCTTAAGGGGCATTGGTGGGTGAAGGGAGTTCAGGGTTTGGGAGCCTCTAACTGTAAACATGTTTTCCCTCCTGACTACTTTTCCTCCTTCCCCCTCAGCCTGGCAGGTCCCAATCCTGGCCTTGTAGGGAGACAAGAGGCTGCTACGTCACTCCATGTCTGAAAGAGCTGGCGGTGGCTTGCCATGCCTGGGTTCCATTTCCTGTCCCCTTCCAAAGCTGCCCGGGTCACGCTCCAGCCTTCTTGTCTGCAGCTCCCGATTCCTTCCTCACCCCCCTATTAAAAGGCCAGGGATAGGTTCACGGCCCTTCTCCTGTCCCTCCCATAGGCCCCAGAGCATCGGATACTGATGAGAAACATCCCATATGGGCTTCAAATCTCATCAAACCCCAGCTATGGGCTGCAGGAAATGGCCCTGCTTCCTAGAACCCCAAATTAACCAGCCCCTTGATTCATCCACTTAGGATCCTAGCACTTGAGTGTTTTATGTTATTTTTTGACAGATCATGGGCAATTTGTTGTTAATTTCCCCTGAGAGCTGGTGAGTGGAGAGGCAGGCTAACTTCTGTCTCTCGCCCCCTGGAATGCCATCTGCCTAAACAAGACAGCTGGCCCATTAGTCAGAGGAAGCACCCCCCAGTGCCTGCACCATCCATTTGATTAGCACTAAGGAGCATCTGCTCACAGGCGGCCTGGCGGACGGCCGCTAGGAAGCCAGCCCACCAGCCAGGCCAGCTGCAGGGCAGCCGGAGCCAGCAGCACTGATGGAATGGGGCTGTTCAGGTGACAGCACCCGGCTCTGGCTCCGTGCCCTGGCTCCTTCAGTGTGCCAGCCGCACCATCGTGGGCTCCTGGCATTCCACACACCCACAGGTCTTCTGTGAGTTTGTGGCCCCACCTCCTCATTTTACAGGTGAGCCAACTCAGGTGTGGCTTGAGGGGCCTGACGCGGCCAGGTTTCAAGGAATGATAGAGCCAGAATCAGAAGCCAGCTCCATGCGCCTCCCCCCACACCCCAGCCCAGGGTTCCTCCTAACAGCCTCCCTTCCCTTTTAGAACCAAGATCCCCTGGCCGTTGAGTCCATGACCCCCTAGCTGTGTGTCCTTGGACAAGTGGAGGTGAACTCTCCAAGCCTCCATTTACTCCTTCATGAAACGGGAATTCAGCCTGCTTGTGCTGTGGGCCTCAGGGGTGGATAGTCAGTGGCACTGTCGTTCTTTCCACTTACAGGGGTTTCACTTACAGGGGAACCCCGGGGGAGCTGGGGCAGCATGATTGGGGTGATCAATGGCCGGAAATTTGGCGTGGCCAGACTCAACACCAGCGTGATGCAGGAGGTGCGCTCCGGGGTCAGCAGCATCCGCAGCAGCATCCACCATGTCCCAGCAAATGTGGGTGAGTGGGAGGCAGAGCATCGCCTGCCTCTGGGCCATTGTCTCAGCCCAGCAAGGATCCTCCAGAACATGCTGGACCTAGGAGGGGGCAGAGCCTGTACCCTGAGACTTGCTCAGGGCCTGATGACCAGAGCATGTCTGACCACCTCTCAAAGCTGGGTGCAAGCCAAAGTGGACTCAGGTGCAGGCAACTTCCTGTCCCCCTCACAGCCCCCCCAAAACAAAGTAACCGCATTTACAGTTAGACCCAGAGTGTGTGAAAAGGTCAGTGTTCTGTGGGTGTGGGCGCTCAGACTGTGGTTTCCCAAGCCACCGATGGCTGCCTGAGGCTTTTCCCCATTTAAGTTAAGGCCCGGGTTGATGGAAGTGGAGGGATCTCCAGTCATGAGTGAGGGGTGCGGGCTGGAGGTGACAGGAAGCGGGAAACAGGGAGAACTGAATTGCCCAGAAAACCTAGAGGACTAAGAAGAGTCACCTGCACACAGAGCTCTCATGTACGATGTCTGAGCGATGAATGCTCTGAGAGACTTGCAGAGCTTGTGACAGTGGACGTCACTGTCTCTCCCTTCCCAAGGAATCCCTGGTCCCTTGTGGGGGTCTAGGAGGGGCAGTGCTCATGGAGTCTTCACTAAAAGCAGGTCTTCTGAAGCTGCCCTTGACCATGGTCCTGCATAAGCAGTGTGGGGTCAGGGGATTTTGCTGGGGAAGTCACTCTGAGCTGGCTGTCAACAGACAGCAGGTGAAGTGAGACACTGCCCAGACATGGCGGCTTATTCCAGCTGCAGGAGTGCGAGGCCTGGAGAAGCATCTGGCCCCAAGCCCGCGGGCCAGGCTCTGTTGCATGAAACAGGCGTACAGAGAGGCTGAGACGGTGGTGCCCATGCACAGGGGCCTGGCCGGCTCATGCGAACCTTGCAAAGCTGGCACCGTCCCTGACCCCAAGCAAGTGGGGAGTGGATGTGTTCCCCTTGCCCAGTCCATGGCCCCGCCTGGCTCTATGTGGAGGGCGGGGCATGACATGAAGAAGATCTGAGAATCCACGTCCAGGGCCATTTTTTGGTTCTTTTTTCAAATGGTTTGGAACAAACCTGGGCTTGTCCAGAAGGGATCTGCAAGTTAGAATAGTTGGTTGACTTCAACTCAGCAAATATGTCATGACAGTCCGTGGAGTCCCTGGCCCCGTGGTGACCCAGGGGCCCTCAATCGGTATTTGTTGAACTGAGTTAAATATCAGCAAGGTACATGCATTTATTTCTTCTTTTTTTTCTTTTTGAGACTGCTTCTCGCTTTGTTGCCCAGGCTGGAGTGCAGTGGTACAGTCACAACTCACTGCAGCCTCAACCTCCCAGGCTCAAGCGATCCTCCTACCTCAGCCTCCCCAGCAGCTGGGACTATAGGCGTATGCCACCACACCTGGCTAATGTTCTTAATATTTTTATTTTTTGTAGAGACAGAGTCTCACTATGTTGCTAAGCATTTCCTTGTATACATTTATTAATTTCACAGTTACTCCAGGAAGTAGATTATTTGCCTCCACCAGGTCCCGGATTCTGGTTAAATAATTGGCCTGGCAGTCACAAGGCTGAGTATGGGCAGCAAAGGAAGGGGCTGAGCCCTCCTGGGGGCAGTAGGGAGCCATGACGGGACCTTGAGCGGGAGAGTGGCTGCCCTGAGGATCAGCTCTAACCTGGCCTCCATGCCCTGCCCCACCCAGGACCTCTGATGCGGGTACTCCTGGTCACCATCGCCCCCATCTACTGGGCCCTGGCCAGAGAGAGTGGGGAAGCCCTGAATGGCCACTCCCTGACCGGGGGCAGGTTCCGGCAGGAGTCACACGTGGAGTTTGCTACAGGTAAGCAGGGCCTCCCCTAGGTGGGCCAGGTAGGACTGAAGCCTGCGCCCAGGACCTCCCGTAGTGACTCTGGGCTGGGTGGGGATGGATTGCAGGGGAGCTGCTCACGATGACCCAGGTGGCCCGGGGCCTGGATCCCGATGGCCTCCTGCTCCTCGACGTGGTGGTCAATGGCGTTGTCCCCGAGAGCCTGGCTGACGCAGATCTTCAAGTGCAGGTCAGGGGTCAGGCCCTGGGGTGTGCAGACAGGGTGGGTGAGAGAGACAGAGGCGCCCTGCTCTCAACCACCCCTGAGCAGCGAGGCCTACTCTCCCTCCTGACACTGCTGCAGGGCTGGGCCACAGTCTGGCCTTGGACTTAGGGTAGGATGAGCAGTTGTTATAGGCTCAAGTTTGAGCCCTTGAGGGGATGCTCTGAGCCCTGCGACTCCCAATCAGACTATTCTTGTTCAAAAGCAAGAGTCCTGAAGACAGGTGAGCTGCCCAGAGCAGCCCAGCTGGTTAGAAGAGGGCTCTAGGGAGGCATCACCTGTCTCCTCCCAGGCTCACCTCGTCTCTCCCAAGGCTCACCCTGTCTCTCCCATGGCTCCACCCATCTCCTCCCATGGCTCACCCCATGTCCTCCCAAGGGCTCACCCCGTCTGTTCCCAAGGCTCACCCCGTCTCCTCCCAGGCTCACCCGTCTCCTCCCAAGGCTCACCCCATCTCTCCCATGGCTCACCATGTCCTCCAAGGCTCACCCCGTCTCCTCCCATGGCTCACCCATGTCCTCCCAAGGCTCACCCCATCTCCTCCCATGGCTCACCCCATGTCCTCCCAAGGCTCACCCCGTCTGTTCCCAAGGCTCACCCCGTCTCCTCCCAAGCTCACCCGATCTCCTCCACCAAGGCTCACCGCATCTCCTCCCAAGCCTCCCCAAGCCCCTGAGTTGAGGTGAAGGTCTCAGGCTGCTTGGGAGTTGAAATCTCAGAATTTTCCTCCTCCCCTTCCAACCTTGACCCCTTTCTCCCTCTCCCCCACCCCTCCTCCTCCTCCCCTCCTCTTCATCTTGCAGGACTTTGAGGAGCGCTATGTGCAAACAGGGCCTGGCCAGCTATTTGTGGACTCCACACAGCACTTCTTTCAGGGCAGCCTCCCCTCGTTCCTGCGCTGCAACCACAGCATCCAGTACAACGCAGCCCGGGGCCCCCAGCCCCAGCTGGTGCAGCACCTGCGGGCCTCAGCTATCAGCTCGGCCTTTGACCCACAGGCCGAGGCTCTGCGCTTCCAGCTCACTACAGCCCTGCAGGCGGGTGAGGCCCCCCTGCTTTGTCGCAACCCCACTGCCCCCGCTAAAACCTGCCAGGGGCCCAAATGCACATGGCTGGAGTCCACCCCTGCCACCCCTGCACCATGGGCCAGAGACTTCAGACTGAGACGGCCCACCTGGCCTGCTCACCTGGCCTGTCCCCACTCCCATCCATTCACCCACCCTCCTCACAGGGACACAGTTCTCTAAGCCACCCCTGCTTCAACCTCTGGATCCTTTCCCCAGGCCCCAAGGTGAAGGTCCAACCACCCCAGGCTGATGTTCAGGAATTGAGTCACCCCGCCCTCTTCTCCCATGGGCACCTGCACCGAGGCCCTACCCGCGGAGGCAGGAACCACTGTTGGAACCCTGGAGACCCACAGAAACATGCTTTCTATTCTTACCCAGTGAATGCTAAAGATACACACGTTCACATTACTTGAGGTTCCAAAGTGTTTTGAACATTGAATGAGAGATAGTGGTAAGAGCACTGCTTTGAGGTCAGGCAGACCCCAGTTCAAATCCCAAGTGTACCACTTTCTGGCTGTGGGACCTTAAAGGCAATGTCCTGGTCCCCTCCGACCTTCAGTGTTCCTATCTGCACAGCAGGCATGACATCGCCTGCCTTGCAGGGTGTCACTGTACAGATGTTGTCTCTCAAATCCTAGCCTGGCACCGCCTCATCAAGGGTGGCTGTCCCTACAATTATTTGGACCAAGCTTGTCCAACCTGTGGCCCACAGGCCGCATGACACCCGGAACAGGTTTGAATGTGCCCCAACACAAATTCGTAAACTTTCTTAAAACATTATGAGATTTCTTTGGCAATTTTTTTTAGCTCATCAGCTATCCTTAGTGCTGGTATATTTTATGTACGGCCCAAGACAATCCTTCCAGCATGGCCCACAGAAGCCGAAAGATAGGACACCGCTGATTTAGACTGTCTTGTGTCCTTCCCGCCTCCAGAACCCAGCTCACCCCTCCCCTGCCTTTGGTTTTGCTGGCCATGCGACGCTGTCCTCTGCCCCTCCGCACGCTCTCTGTGCATTGCTGCTGTGGCCTCAGGAGAGCCGTTCTGCACGTGTTGACCTCCTGTGTTTTATTTTAATGGTTTTCCTGGGGCTGCCTGACTCACTGCCCAGCCCCACAGGGAGCCCCTGAGGACACATTTCCTTGACTGGGTGTGCCCTGCAGTCATCACCTCCAACAGGCCTGGGCAGGAAATGGGCTCACTGACTCTCTGGCACTGTCTTGGCTTTGCCTGGCTAAGCTGGCGGGTGGGGAGCTGCGAGCCTGGGTTACGGCCAGGGCAGCCCTGGGAGAGGACACCCTCGTGTCCTTAGAGTCTATCCTCTTTGTCTTGCAGAGGAGAACGAGGTCGGCTGCCCCGAGGGCTTTGAGCTGGACTCCCAGGGAGCATTTTGTGTGGGTGAGAGCCCCCCCCCCTGGCATGGACGTGGGAGGCCTCTCAGCCTGGGATGGATGGCTTCTCCCAGCCAGCTGGCAGGAGGCTGGGAGCAGAGACCACCAGATCCTTTCCTGCCCCAGACAGGGACGAGTGCTCAGGAGGCCCCAGCCCCTGCTCCCACACCTGCCTTAACGCACCCGGCCGCTTCTCCTGTGCCTGCCCGGCTGGCTTTGCCCTGGCCTGGGATGACAGGAACTGCAGAGGTGAGGGAGCCCCTGGGAGGAGAGGTCCTCCTCAGACATGACCCAGGTGTGTGGAAGGGTCCCCAGGGCCAGGACCCTGGCTGGACACAGACCTGCAGGGATGGCCCATTCTTGAGGGCATTTGATGTCAGCCTGGAGGTCCCAACGCCATGTCCCCACCAGGCTCCTTCCTGCTCTGGGAGCTGCAGACGAGTGAGGCCCAGGTTTCAGGGGGTGATGGGCAGCCCAAGAGACATAGGGGCGGTTATCACATGCTCACGGCCTTCTGAACCTGAACAGGCCTCGGAAGCTTTCCCAACACTCAGCATCATTTCCAATTGACTGAGACTGGCAAGTGAGTCGTACTCCTCAGCAATGTTGCTGGATGACAAATCTGACCTTGGGTGGCGGTGCTGATGCTGACCCCCAATCTGTATCTCTGCACTCCCACCAGGAGGGTCTGGTGCCGGCAAGTCTCCACTGGGCTCCAAGCCAGGTGCCCAAGGGGACGTTGTCTGCAGCCTTGCATTAGAAGCTGCAGGCCCAAGCGCTCGGGTCCCTTGGAGTGGGCCCTGTGTTTTGGGGTAGGGAGCAGGACAGTGGAAAGAGCTAGCAGAAGGGGTGGGGCCCTTCCTGCCAGTGGCTCCTGGGCCTGCAGACGAAGCCTCTGTGGATAGGCTGGGCCAGGGTCAGGTGGCGAGGCAGGCCTGGGGATCGTGTTCACACAGCCGTCTGCCCTGATCTGCCCCCAGATGTGGACGAGTGTGCGGGGGATGCTCGCCTCTGCCGAGAGGGACAGCGCTGTGTGAACCTGCTCGGGTCCTACCGCTGCCTCCCCGACTGTGGGTCTGGCTTCCGGGTGGCTGCTGACGGAGCCAGCTGTGAAGGTGATGGGGACACAGTGTGCGGCCTGTCCATACTCCTGGAAACCCAGAGGTTGCCAGGGATCAGCTGATAGGGGGCTGTGTGTCACTGGGCTCTGGGCTTTCAGGAAGACCGGGACTCTTGACAGAAGGAGCACAGCAAGGCTGGGGATGAAGCCTGAGCCGGGCACTGGAGGTCGGAGCCCTCCCCTGGCTCCTGGCAGCTGGCACCTTCTTTGACAGGGGTGTTTTCTTTCTGGACCTCAGTGTCTTGTCTGCTTGATAAAGAGGCAGCCGGGTCAGGGATGGCAAACACGCCCTCCCTCTGCTGCCGTCCGTTCTCTCAAATCCTAGCCTGGCACCGCCTCATCAAGGGTGGCTGTCCCTACAATTATTTGGACCAAGCTTGTCCAACCTGTGGCCCACAGGCCACATGACACCCGGAACAGGTTTGAATGTGCCCCAACACAAATTCGTAAACTTTCTTAAAACATTATGAGATTTTTTGGCAATTTTTTTTAGCTCATCAGCTATCCTTAGTGCTGGTATATTTTATGTACGGCCCAAGACAATCCTTCCAGCATGGCCCACAGAAGCCGAAAGATAGGACACCGCTGATTTAGACTGTCTTGTGTCCTTCCCGCCTCCAGAACCCAGCTCACCCCTCCCCTGCCTTTGGTTTTGCTGGCCATGCGACGCTGTCCTCTGCCCCTCCGCACGCTCTCTGTGCATTGCTGCTGTGGCCTCAGGAGAGCCGTTCTGCACGTGTTGACCTCCTGTGTTTTATTTTAATGGTTTTCCTGGGGCTGCCTGACTCACTGCCCAGCCCCACTGGGAGCCCCTCAGGACCCATTTCCTTGACTGGGTGTGCCCTGCAGTCATCACCTCCAACAGGCCTGGGCAGGAAATGGGCTCACTGACTCTCTGGCACTGTCTTGGCTTTGCCTGGCTAAGCTGGCGGGTGGGGAGCTGCGAGCCTGGGTTACGGCCAGGGCAGCCCTGGGAGAGGACACCCTCGTGTCCTTAGAGTCTATCCTCTTTGTCTTGCAGAGGAGAACGAGGTCGGCTGCCCCGAGGGCTTTGAGCTGGACTCCCAGGGAGCATTTTGTGTGGGTGAGAGCCCCCCCCCCGGCATGGACGTGGGAGGCCTCTCAGCCTGGGATGGATGGCTTCTCCCAGCCAGCTGGCAGGAGGCTGGGAGCAGAGACCACCAGATCCTTTCCTGCCCCAGACAGGGACGAGTGCTCAGGAGGCCCCAGCCCCTGCTCCCACACCTGCCTTAACGCACCCGGCCGCTTCTCCTGTGCCTGCCCGGCTGGCTTTGCCCTGGCCTGGGATGACAGGAACTGCAGAGGTGAGGGAGCCCCTGGGAGGAGAGGTCCTCCTCAGACATGACCCAGGTGTGTGGAAGGGTCCCCAGGGCCAGGACCCTGGCTGGACACAGACCTGCAGGGATGGCCCATTCTTGAGGGCATTTGATGTCAGCCTGGAGGTCCCAACGCCATGTCCCCACCAGGCTCCTTCCTGCTCTGGGAGCTGCAGACGAGTGAGGCCCAGGTTTCAGGGGGTGATGGGCAGCCCCAAGAGACATAGGGGCGGTTATCACATGCTCACGGCCTTCTGAACCTGAACAGGCCTCGGAAGCTTTCCCAACACTCAGCATCATTTCCAATTGACTGAGACTGGCAAGTGAGTCGTACTCCTCAGCAATGTTGCTGGATGACAAATCTGACCTTGGGTGGCGGTGCTGATGCTGACCCCCAATCTGTATCTCTGCACTCCCACCAGGAGGGTCTGGTGCCGGCAAGTCTCCACTGGGCTCCAAGCCAGGTGCCCAAGGGGACGTTGTCTGCAGCCTTGCATTAGAAGCTGCAGGCCCAAGCGCTCGGGTCCCTTGGAGTGGGCCCTGTGTTTTGGGGTAGGGAGCAGGACAGTGGAAAGAGCTAGCAGAAGGGGTGGGGCCCTTCCTGCCAGTGGCTCCTGGGCCTGCAGACGAAGCCTCTGTGGATAGGCTGGGCCAGGGTCAGGTGGCGAGGCAGGCCTGGGGATCGTGTTCACACAGCCGTCTGCCCTGATCTGCCCCCAGATGTGGACGAGTGTGCGGGGGATGCTCGCCTCTGCCGAGAGGGACAGCGCTGTGTGAACCTGCTCGGGTCCTACCGCTGCCTCCCCGACTGTGGGTCTGGCTTCCGGGTGGCTGCTGACGGAGCCAGCTGTGAAGGTGATGGGGACACAGTGTGCGGCCTGTCCATACTCCTGGAAACCCAGAGGTTGCCAGGGATCAGCTGATAGGGGGCTGTGTGTCACTGGGCTCTGGGCTTCCAGGAAGACCGGGACTCTTGACAGAAGGAGCACAGCAAGGCTGGGGATGAAGCCTGAGCCGGGCACTGGAGGTCGGAGCCCTCCCCTGGCTCCTGGCAGCTGGCACCTTCTTTGACAGGGGTGTTTTCTTTCTGGACCTCAGTGTCTTGTCTGCTTGATAAAGAGGCAGCCGGGTCAGGGATGGCAAACACGCCCTCCCTCTGCTGCCGTCCGTTCTGTTCCCCACATGAATCCAGGCCCAGCTAGAGACCACCTCTGAATCCTTCTTGAGCCAGCAGCCCCTGCAGCCACCATGGAGCAGGTGCAGTCAGCCTTCGAGACAAAACCTAGGTGCCACCCCTGGACAGGTGACCTCAGTGGTCCTTCCTGTTCTAGCTCTATGGCTGCAGGACCGTGGGTCCACCCGGCTCCTCTGAGAGACTGTCTGGTGGGGAGGGAAGCACGGTGGAGCCTGACTCAAGAGGAGCAGCTGTCGCACCTCTGTGGTCCCCAGGGCCCCTAGACTGCCCGACAACTCACCGGGCTCTCCTGCCTGCCGCCTTTCCTGCCGCCTTTCCTCCTTTCTCACCACTTTCTTAGCTCTTCCCACATGCCAGGCTCCCCTCCTCACCATGACCCCATGAAGAGGTCACATCTCTACCCGCTTTATGGATGAGGAAACTGAGGCTCAGAGAGAGAGAGAGTTCCTTACCCAAGGGCTAGAGTATGACAGAGCTCAGCGGAACCCAGGACTCTGCCCGCAAAGCCCACCCTTTCAGCCCCTTCCTTTCTTTGGGACCTGGAACCCTGCTGACCCTCCAACCTAGTGTAACTGGGGGAGGTGCTGCAAGGGCTGCCATGCAACCTGGTGGCACTGAAACTGGAGAAGGGGACAGGGAGGAGGCCCAGATATGGAGGGGGATGGTCTGTCCCTTGGGGGAGGGGCTCTGGGCTAGACCTCGCCCCCTGACCATGCCCCTGCCTCCCAGATGTGGACGAATGCCTGGAGGGGTTGGACGACTGTCACTACAACCAGCTCTGCGAGAACACCCCAGGCGGTCACCACTGCAGCTGCCCCAGGGGCTACCGGATGCAGGGCCCCAGCCTGCCCTGCCTAGGTACGGGGAGACCCACCCTCTGGCCGGCACCCCCAGCTCAGGGACTGAGGGTGCCTAAGGCACCAGTGCTGGTGAGTCCTGAGAATAACCAAACAGCACCGACACATCACCTCACTGTGTGCCTGCCTGTGCACCAAAACCTCAGCCTGATTCTATGGGGTCATCTTCCGGGGAATTTCAGGAGGGGGAGGACTGTGGAAGCAAGTGGGTGTATCTCAGAGAGGCTTAGGAGAGGGAATGGATCTAACTGGGGCACCGAAGGGCTGAGGGGGAGCTGGAGTCTGGGATGATGCTGAGAGCTGGGGAGGCTGGGCCTCTGGGAGCTGTAGGTGGAATCAGATTGGAGGCTGGGGCTGGTCCCGGAGAGGGGGATGCAGTGTGGCCCGCACGCAGCGTGGGAGTGGTGGGATTCTGGGGAGTGCCAGCAAGAGAAGGCAGGGCCAGGCAATGGCTGCAGGCTGCAGGGGACCCTGGGCCACCTGTGCACATGCCTGACCCCGCCCCTCTACAGATGTCAATGAGTGCCTGCAGCTGCCCAAGGCCTGCGCCTACCAGTGCCACAACCTCCAGGGCAGCTACCGCTGCCTGTGCCCCCCAGGCCAGACCCTCCTTCGCGACGGCAAGGCCTGCACCTCACTGGAGCGGAATGGACAAAATGTGACCGCTGTCAGCCACCGAGGCCCTCTAGTGCCCTGGCTGTGGCCCCGGGCCTCCATCCCTGGTGGCTCCTACCACGCCTGGGTCTCTCTCCGGCCGGGTCCCGTGGCCCTGAGCAGTGTGGGCCGGGCCTGGTGCCCTCCTGGTTTCATCAGGCAGAACGGAGTCTGCACAGGTAAGGCCAGGCCCTGACCATCCACGGGACACTGCCATTATGGGCTCTTGGGCCCCTGGGGTGGGTGTGCAGGTGCCACCCGTGGAGTCCAGAAACCCAGACCTTCCAGGCAAGTGGGGTGGGTGGTGTGGGATGGTGGCTTCTCTGATGCAGGGTGTCTCAGAGCCTTGGCTGTGCTACTGGGCAGGGGGCTTCCAAGATGGGAGTGGACTATTTTTGACTTCAGGACACTTTGCCCAGAAGAAGGGCATCCTAGGCAAGTGGTCCTGGGAACCCTCTTTGAGAAACACTCCTGTTAGCACTCAGAGGGAAAGCCGTCAGGCAGGGGGTTTTTCAGGGGTGAAGGAGAATGTTCCAGGTAGACATGAGAATGTGACAAGGGACTGCTGAGTAGAGGGGGCAAGGTGGGGGATGGCCCCTGGACCCTGCAGAGAGGGACAAAGAGGAGGTGGCCTGCCCCTGGGCTGACGCCTTGGCATTCCTGCCTGGATGGAGGGGTCTGTGAGGCGGTGCTGCCTGCTCCCTCTATGCCTTGGCGAGCATGGGGTAGGTAAGGTGGGGATCCTCCCTCTCACCAAGCCCAGGGACTCCCCCAGCCCCTGAACCCGGGCTGGGAGGGGCAGGACAGGGAGAAGGAGCAGGGCAGCTCCAGAGCCCAGTGGGCAGGTGTGTGGCCATGTCAGTGTCTGTGGTTCAGTGCATCTCTCTGCCCCCGTCCCCCACCTGCCCCGCCCCCATGCCCGGGTCAGACCTCGACGAGTGCCGGGTGAGGAACCTGTGTCAGCACGCCTGCCGCAACACTGAGGGCAGCTACCAGTGCCTGTGCCCCGCCGGCTACCGCCTGCTCCCCAGCGGGAAGAACTGCCAGGGTGAGCCGGGCTCAGGCTGCCGCCCAGACACCCATGGGGCTAGGGCAGGCAGCATGGGATGGGACATGTGGCATCTCAGCCACTCCGTTCACTCCAGCCCCTTCACAACTATCCTGTGAGGGTGGGGCGGGGAGGCAGGCTCAGAGGGGTTCCGTGAACACCCCAGGCTCTCACAGCCATGCCAGGGCCCATGCTCCGGACAGAAGCTCTGAGATTACGCGGGCAGGCTCTGAAACCAAACCAATCCCAACTCTGCTGTGTGTCCCTAGGAAACTCACTTCACCTCTCTGAGCCTCTTGGTTAAATGGGGCTAACACAGTCCCCCTCAAATAGCTGGGATGAGAGCTGTGGAGGCCGAGCACAGAGCCGCACAGCTGCTGCTGCTGGTAGAGTCAGGGCCTCTAACCCCCAAACCGGGCACAGTTTCCCCGGTGTGCACAAACGGGGCCGGGGCCAGTCATGCTGCTTCCTCCTAAAGAACAGGAACCATGCCTGCCCTGCCTATCTCCGTCCCTCACGCTGCCATGGAGGTCACCGAACATCCTCAGAGAAGGGTGGGGGTTCCACTGAGGCAGACAGCATCAGGGGCTCTGCCCGTGGGCAGTGGGCACTCAAGGTCTTCGGGCAAAGCAGCCACCCAGGGAAAGCCCTATCTCTCCCAGGCCCTCCCACCCAGCACTTGCTCAGGAGGCCCCCATGGTGCCCACCTACACACCCTGGAAAGCCCCAGCCCCCGGGGAGATGAGAAGGTGCTGGGGGCCTCCAGGCTGGGTGGTCACGGGTCAGACTGACTGGGGACAAAGGGAGAAGGGCTGCTCACCTCACTGGTCCCCCAAAGGTACTTCTCCCCACACACTCCCCCCTCTCCTTTGCTCCATCTTTTCATCTCCCTCCCCCACTTCACCAACCTCCCCCATCCAGATATCAACGAGTGCGAAGAGGAGGACATCGAGTGTGGACCCGGCCAGATGTGCTTCAACACCCGCGGCAGCTCCCAGTGTGTGGACACACCCTGTCCTGCCACCTACCGGCAGGGCCCCAGCCCTGGGTAAGGGTTGAGTTGGCAGGGCCTTGTGCCCTCAGGAAAAGCACATTTTTCAGTCACTCCAGGTTCAGGCTGGCCCTGTCACTGTCACTCCCCACACAAGTGATACAGGCAGGAGCGCAGGGAGCCCTGGGGACAGGGAGAGGCCAGAGTGGGAACACGGGGACACAGGAGCACACACACCAAACCCCAGACACAGGAACACCATGCAGACTCACAACCCCAGGACAAAACTCAGACACGCGAGCACCAAACCCATCTCCTCCACGCCACTCACAGCGGCCACAGACACCACGACGCACGGAGACATGGGGACCTTAGGGGTGACACCACTGCCCTGGAAAGGTTTCTCGCGGCGGGTGACCTGCCCCGGGCCTTACAACTAGAAACCTAGGCTGGGGTTGGAAGCGGATGCCCCAGGCAAGGCTAAGCTCAGTCTCCACCTCTAATCCCACCCTGGCAGGGCAAATCCAGACTGGGTGACTCGGCCCAGGAACACATCAGTTCCCCTGTGTCTGCTGGGCTTCCCTAGGGCATGGACCTGGAAAGTCCGCTGGAGGGACCCCGAAAGGGCACGCCTCTGGCTTCTCTGGGCCTCAGTTTGTTGATCTCTAAAACGGGCTAGCGGGGATGCCCGCAGAGAAGGCCTGTGGGGCTCTGCCGCAGAAGGACGGGCAGCGCGTGGGCGGAACTGCAGGGGCTGGCAGGGAGGTCTGATTACGCAGCTGGGCCACGCTCAGACCCACCCCCGAGTCCGCCTGTCCGTGTGTCTGTCTGTGCCGCCCGCAGGACGTGCTTCCGGCGCTGCTCGCAGGACTGCGACACCGGCGGCCCCTCCACGCTGCAGTACCGGCTGCTGCCGCTGCCCCTGGGCGTTCGCGCCCACCACGACGTGGCCCGCCTTGCCGCCTTCTCCGAGGCCGGCGTCCCAGCCAACCGCACCGAGCTCAGCGTGCTGGAGCCGGACCCGCGCAGCCCCTTCGCGCTGCGCCCGCTGCGCGCGGGCCTCGGCGCGGTCTACACCCGTCGCGCGCTCACCCGCTCTGGCCTCTACCGGCTCACCGTGCGCGCCGCGGCGCCACGCCACCAAAGCGTCTTCGTCCTGCTCATCGCCGTGTCCCCCTACCCCTACTAAACGGGAGAGGGCATTGGCGGCTGCCCCGGTGTGACCCCCGAGGAAGGGGGCCAGGAGGAGCTTGGTCCACGCCACCTGCTGTGGCAAGCGGAGCGTCATCGTCTCTCGCCCCGTGCGTCAGCGAGACCTTGGGTCAACACGACCCTGCGCGCAGCCTTGACCCCCGACAGCGAGGACCTGAGCTCACAGAGGGAGGCGTCCGGGGCGGTCCTTGGGTGGCCAGGCCCGCAGGCAGGGCCCGGGGAAGCCTCCAGGTCTGATCCGCCCCTCAGTGGGAGCGGGACAGGGACACAGGGCACCTGGACGCCCGGGGGAGGAGGCAGACTCCGCGTTGGGGGTGGCAGCAGCTATCTGGCGGTGTCATTCTGAACCCTGTTGCAATATAAAAAGATTGCTTTTTTAACTAACTTGGTTTCTTTGTCTAATTATTTTGCTCTGTAGGGAAAGGTTTTGACTGGGAAGGAGACCACGCCTTCTGTTCTGATCCAGGAGCACTGAAGTTTGAGTCCACCAGCCTCCTCTCCTTAGGAGTAGGGTTGCCTCAGGCACCTCCTGGCCTCAGTTTCCTAATCCATAAAATATTGCAATAGGGCCCTCCCTTCCCCCACAGGGCTGTGGGGGCAATTAAATGAGGAGTAAATGTATTGCATAGACCGCAATAGCCGGTGGCAAAAAAAAATCTTAGTTTTTAGAGGCAGGGTCTTGTCCCATCGCCCAAGCTGGAGTTGCAAATGACATGATCGTGGCTCACTGCAGCCTCGACCTTCTGGCCTTGCCATCCTCCTGCCTCAGCCTCCAGAGCAGCTGAAACTACAGGCACATGATACCATGCCTAGCCTTTATATTAATTCTTCATGTTTTGTATATAGGTAAGGCATACAACATGACGCTTTGATATGCATAATGAAATGGTTACTATAGTCAAACCAATTAACATAGCCATTAGGGATTTTGGGTGGGCTTGAAAAAAATAAAACATACCCATCATCTCATATATACTTATTTTTGTGGCAAGAACACCTAAAATCTATTCCCTTAGGAAAATCCCAGTGTGATATGATCATTATTTTGAGACAGGATCTCGCTCTGTCACCCAGGCTGGAGTGCAGTGGCGTAATCTCTGTTCACCTCAATCTATGCCTCCTGGGCTCAAGCAATCCTCCCACCTCAACCTCCTGAGTAGCTGGGACCACAGGCATGCACCACCACACCTGGCTCTTTTTTTTTTTTTTTTTTTTTTTTGAGATGGAGTTTCGCTCTTGTTGCCCAGGCTGGAGTGCAATGGTGAGATCTCAGCTCACCGCAACCTCCGCCTCCCGGGTTCAAGTGATTCTTCTGCCTCGGCCTCCTGAGTAGCTGAGATTACAGGCACCTGCCACCACGCTCAGCTAATTTTGTATTTTCAGTAGAGATGAGGTTTCTTCATGTTGGTCAGGCTGGTCTCAAACTCCTGACCTCAGGTGATTTGCCCGCCTTGACCTCCCAAAGTGCTGGGATTACAGGCATGAGCCACCATGCCCTGCCTTATTTTTTTAAATGTTTTGTAGAGATGAAGTTTCATTATGTTGTTCAGTCTGGTCTGGAACTCCTGGTCTCAAAGGATCATCGCACCTCAGCCTCCCAAAGTGCTGGGATTACAGGCATGTGCCACTGCACCCGGCTTACTCTAGCCTATTTTTATCAGCTAACTCTTGTTGCTTTCCAGTCATAGACTCCTACAGCGGGCTTTATGGCTTAGCTATTATCTTGTATCCTTCGCAGCTCGCCCCTGGGTTTCACTTGAGTCTGGTTCCAAGCTATCTTTTTCCTGATAGCATCTCCCCCTCTGGGGGACACATTATTGAAGGCAAGGGCTGTTTCTAGGTCCTGGGCTTAATAATTCATCTAATTCATCCACAGGAAGGGCCTTTGTTAGATGAATGGATGGGCGGAAGTTTAGTGCAACAATCCCTAAGTAGCTTTTTTTTTTTTTGAGATGGAGTTTCGCTCTTGCTGTCCAGGCTGGAGTGCAATGGAGTGGTCTCGGCTCACTACAACCTCTGCCTCCTGGGTTCAAGTGATTCTCCTGCCTCAGCCTCCCGAGTAGCTGGTATTACAGGCATGCGCCACCACACCCGGCTAATTTTGTATTTTCAGTAGAAACAGGATTTCTTGGGCCAGGCGCAGTGGCTCATACCTGTAATCCCAGCACTTTGGGAGGCCAAGGCGGGCAGATCATGAGGTCAGGATATGGAGACCATCCTGGCTAACACGGTGAAACCCCGTCTCTACTAAAAAAATATTTAAAAAATTAGCTGGGCATGGTGGCGGGCACCCGTAGTCCCAGCTACCCGAGAGGCTGAGGCAGGAGAATGGCATGAACCTGGGAGGTGGAGTTTGCAGTGAGCCGAGATTGCACCACTGCACTCCAGCCTGGGCGACAGAGCGAGACTCCGTCTCAAAAAAAAAAAAAAAAAAAAAAAGGAGAAACAGGGTTTCTCCATGTTGGTCTCAGACTCCCGACCCCCAACCTCAGGTGATTTGCCTGCCTCGGCCTCCCAAAGTGCTGGGATTACATGCATGAGCCACTGCGCCTGGCCTAAGTTTTGTATTTTCAGTAGAGACGGGGTTTCACCATGTTGGCCAGGCTGATCTCAAACTCCTGACCTCAAGAGATTCCCTCGCCTTGGCCTCCTAAAGTGCTGGAATTACAGATGTGAGCCACTGTGCCCGGACCCTGGGGTAGTTTTTAAAAGGAGGTCAGGGCAGGCCTCACTGAGCAGGTGGCACCTGAGAAGAGACCTGAAGAAGGTGAAGGAGAAGGTTACATGGCCATCGCAATAGAGGGGAGGGGTGTTCCGGAAGAGGGGACAGCAGGTGTCAGGGCCCTCAGGCAGGAGGGTCCAGTCGGGAGGTTGGGGAGGCTGGAGATGAATGAGGTGGGAGAAAGGGAAGAGAGAAAGGTCGAGGGGGTGGGGTGGATCCTGTGGGGTCTTTGGGCCACCATAGACACTTTGGCTTTGATGAGTGAGCTAGGGAGAGACAAGAGTAAATGTATAGCTAGGTGTGGTCGTGCAGGCCTGTAGTCCCAGCTACCTGGGAAGCTGAGGAGGGAAGATCCTTGAGCCCAGGAGTTTGGGGCTACAGTGAGCTGTGATTTGGCCACTGCACTCCAGCCTAGGTGAGAGAGCAAGACCCCATCTCTTACGAAAATGGTTTTTTCAAAAGTCAAGGCATATCTGCGTGTTGACCTATGTCCAGTGTGCTGGGTCTTGGGAGGAGTGCAGGTGAAACGGGGTTTGGCAGAAGCCCACGCTCCTGCTCCTCCTTCTCCTCCCGTTCCTGCCTTCTCCCTGGGCTGGTTGCAGCCCCCTGCCTGGCTGGCCTCTTTGTTGCCAGCTGCCCCGACACAGCCTCTGGGACAGAGGTTGTCTTTTGCATATGGTTCTGAAGAAAAGAGTTCCTCTCTCCCTGTTCCTCCTACTCAGTGTGACATGGTCAGCTCCCCCTAGGTGTCCCCTCCCTCTCATCCAGGCAATGAGGAAAGTCGTCTGAGTTATTTCCTTCTAGAGATGAATGACAATCAGGCTGTCTAAACTGAGCTGTTCTGGGTACACAGAGAAGAAATCGCTGTGTCCATTTTACAGATGGAGAAAGGGGGGTACAGGGAGGGAACATGATCCAGTCAGTTGCCTGAGGTGTAACTGGTTAATAGTCAAACTGGGACTCTTGATTTCCAGCTAACAGCCCCAATAGGACCTTCTCCAGGGCGCTTCTTGCTGTGGGTTTCCTTTAAACCAGTCTGCAAAGTTTTTCTGTTAGGACCAGATAGTAGTTACTCTCTGCTTTGCGGGACATTCAAGTTCTGTCAAAATGACTTACCTTTGCCATTGCAGCACAAAAGCAGCCCCGGAGAACCCATGAACAGATGGGCACGGCTATGTTCCAATAAAACTTTATTTGTGGACACTTACATTTCAAATTTATTATCATTTTCATGTGCCATGAAATATTCTTCTTCTTTTGATGTTTCTCAACCATTTACAAATGTAAAAGTCATTCTTAGTTTGCACGCAGGCTTTACAAAATCAAGTTCAGACCAGAGTTTGCTGATCTCTGGTTTAAACCACAGAAATCACTGATGGTGGAAGTCCAGGCTGGGTGGAGAGATTAGAGGAGGCAGGAAGAAGTAGGGGAGAGGCTTCCTAGGCCCTCCTGTACCCTATTCGTCCAAGGTCCACCTGCGAGGGCCTTCCTTGGGCTGAACGCCCCTCTTTGTGCAACTCCAGGGGTCAATGGGTCAGAATTGGAGCGCTGCTCTTCGCTAGGCTGTTAATTTTTTATGGAGCTGGGGACTTTGTGGAGGCAATGCAGAGGTGGAGACCCACAGAGGGGAGGTGCCACTCCTCTCTCACCCCTGCTGTCTCCTGCAGGCCGCTCCCAGTCTAACCCAGGTTTTCCATGTTTGTAAAACTACTACTTGTTAAGTCTCTGTCCAGTGTCTTATAGACTCGAGGGGTGTGTGTGTGTGTGTGTGTGTGTGTGTGTGTGTGTGTTTGAGACAGAGTCTCACTCTGTCGCCCAGACTGGAGTGCAGTTGCACTTCTTCCCCGCCCCCCGAAAGGATGGTTCCCGAGCAGAAGAGGCCCCTCCCAAGCAAGCTGCAGCCAAAGCCAGAGAGTATTTTCCATCCAAGAAGGGTGTTTGCCACTTCTCTTTTTCTAGCTGCCAGCTGTCATTGGCCAAGGTTCTGTCCAAGCCGCCCAGCCCCCTGGCGCCACCTGACCTCCGCAAGTCTGTTTGCACCATCAGGGGTGGAAAACAGGCCTGCAGGTTGCTCATTGACCTCCCTGATGTGGATTTTCCACGAACCCAACAACTGGACTCTGCGTTCCTGTGGGCGGGGACTGGCAACCTAGGGTCTGGCCTGGAGGACACTCTCTTTTTCCAGGGCCAATGCCCACGCTTGGGCAGTGGCAAGGTGGCTTGTGGTGCCAACCATGAGGAGGTTGCAGGGTAAGATCCTTTGAAGTCTCTACACATCCAGGCCTCTTCATGCCCAGCAGGTACAGAGCCCTTGGGTGGCCGAGGCGAGAGAGGGAGGCAGGAGGAAGCCCACTCCAGGGCTCTGTGCCCAGGCTAGATCTATGCCTGTAGGTGGCTGGGGGCATTTGACGAGAACATGTCCATTAAGTTTGCTCTGTAGACATTCAGACAAGTGGCCACAAAAGTTAGAGCCGAGGCCAGGCGCGGTGACTCATGCCTGTAATCTCAGCACTTTGGGAGGCCGAGGTGGGCGGATCAACCGAGGTTAGGAGTTCAAGACCCGCCTGGCCAACATGGTAAAATCCCGTCTCTACTAAAAATACAAAAATTAGCCAGGTGCGGTGGTGGGCGCTTGTAATCCCAGCTATTCTGGAGGCTG